TGACCAGACTCCAACAGCTCTCCCACCAGCAGTTTTTTTCCCTCTCCCTTTACTTTGGACTCAGGGTGGGGGCCCAAGGAACACCACTTTGTTCATGCCTCAGGGTGCTGGGTTATACATTTGGGTTTTGTGGGTTAAAACCAATTGCTTGTCTGTATAATTGTACTTATTGTATTATTTTATTAAATTGTTATTCTGATTTATAATCTCTCTTTTGAGTTGAGTTCATTTCCCCTGCTGGTTAACTTTTAAACCAGCACACCTGGTTGTTAACTGAAGAAAAGTGAAGAGCTAATCACCTTGTAAACATCATGATGGTCAAGAATGTGGTCAAAGTTCTTGTAGATATCATTCAGCATATCTACCACCTCCATAGGGGTGCTATATTTGCAGAGGGTGGTGAAGCCAACGATGTCACTGAAGTAGATAGTGACTTCTTCAAAGAGCTCTGGTTCTACCAGGCCAGTCTCCTTCAAAGACTTTACTACTGGCCTGTGGAAGTAGAGAAGGCAGGAAGACAGATGAGTAGTGCTTTCTAGTAAAGGTATTTTTTCATGCAACCCAACCACAGCATTGCTTTCTGTGCAGGAAACATCAAATAGTTTGCTGAAAACTGCCACTGTAATCGCATTTTAGATGCCCATAATGCCTTTCAGCAAGGAACCTCAAAGCACTTACTAATGGTAATTAATGTGCTACAGCCTTACAAAATCTAAGTGTGTTAATAGCCATGAGGAAACTAAGACACAGGCAACTGAGCTTGGTTAAGGTCAGAAACAGGGATATTGCGTCAAATTTAAAACTGAAATTCTAGAATTTCTGACATGTAGACCTACATTCTACCATACAATAAGTAAGAACAAACATATTTTTCTGTTTTCGCAGTGTAGAAGTAATTTCATCCTGATAATTACATCACCTCTTCCTGATTTCAGAAGATGTATCATAGTCTGATAATTTCATGGAAAAAAAATTCAATACCATGACAGTCAATATCTATTCAAAGGGACCTTCATTTTCTTGCAATTCTAAATCCAGGAAAATATCTGTTCCTAGTGGAGATATTAGAAGAGAATAACTGAAAGAGACGCAGAAAATTATAGGGTTTGCACAGTGCTGTGTTCCATCTACACTGGGACAATAATAGAGTGGTAGGAACAATAAAGAGTGGAAGAAGACGTGGATTCCTTGTTGCACTGTCTATACAGCCAGATCATTTCAAATTTTCCCCAAAACTGGATTGAACAAACATTTTTTTAAAAGATGAGTCAATAAAAAGATTTTATCTTTTTTTAAGATAAAATCAATACTCTGACTACTGAAATACCCTTGAAAATAGTAATGATAGGGCACTTTTACCATTGCAAATGTATGCAATACCAAAATTACTGACATTACCAACATTAGAATATCAATAATACTTATCCTATACGATAGGATAAGTATTCTTCATTCTCTGAAGAATCCATCTAGCCTAGTATGGCCCAGCCAACCTCAGTCCCTCTGTACATTGCTAAATCCCAGCCTAAAATCAGACTGTACTCCTGCTCTCCAGCTGGAAACACTCCCTCTACCTAGCACGGTGCTGGAGCAGAACAGAGCTCCGTGATGTGGGGTCACTGTAGATCTATGTGTTCCAAGGAAAGCAGTGAAAAAGAGGCTTGTGCTGGAAAGGGGGATCCTGTGCATGAAGAAATGTTGAGAAAGATAATGGGTCCCAGTACCATCTTGACATGAAAATCCACCATGGGGTGGAGAGCACAGGGGACAGCTGCTGCTTCCTTCCTTCCTAGCAGGATTAGATTAGAGGGGAGGGAAATAGAACATTAACATTAATCCCATCCCCTACTTCGCAAGAATCAGGTGATATATATAAATAAAATGCCACAGAAAATCCTCCCGGCCAGTTACCTTGGAAGTAACATGAAGTTAAGCCTGTCTGCTCTGTCTCGCTCTGCTTTGTATAGCTCTGTCCTTTCCTCCACCAGGTGCTCCAAGTTCCGGGAGTACAGCTGTAGGCGCCGGATCAGGGTATCCATGTAGCTTTCATTGGTTTGGCCATGGAGGTTACTGCAAGTAACAGAATTACACAGGAGTAAAGAAGAAAGACTGATAGACATTCTTTGTTGAGAGCAGCCAAAAAGAGGCAAGAAAGGAACAATGGAAAACTTCTCCAGTGTTTGACTTCCACATAGTTAGAATGCAAAATGCCTCAAGTGCACCATTCTTTTACTTGCTTGGAGGGCTTACCTATATGAGTTGAAAGTCAGTGATCACGCTTGTCAGTTGCAACTGGTAATTCTTAAAGCACCCGTCCATCACCTAGCCCTGATAATATTGTCAGTTCCAGATTACCTTGGGTAATCCATGAACATTCATTTGTAAAAAGTAACTGAGAAGCTCAAATTCTGAGAGGAAGTTGAAAATAGTAGGTAGAATATTGCATATAATGTTTAGATGGGGACTTCAGCCAGAAAAATTAAGACAATTTGGGGCTGTCTGTTTAGAAAACAGAACAATACAGCAGAACAAAGAGGAGCCCCTGAGCTAGTCTTACTCACAAGATCCTGCAGACTCCTGCCTACTAACAACCCCTGGATGCAGTAGTATGGTAACATGAGCTGCTCAAACCCCTGTTTGTCTAGGTAGCCTGCACTTGCCAAAGCAGTCTGAAAGTAGGTGGGACCAGGCTGAATGGAAGAGTCAGATTAGTATTGTATCCAACTGGACTTTAAAATCACTCTTACTTTAAAGTAATGTCAGCGATGCGACATCTTAGACCCCCATGAGGAGAACATCATATTGAGTGTGGCAAGAGGCAACCTGTTTGATTTTGTGGGATGGAAGCTTAGGAGATGAACTAGGAGGCCTTTTTATTCAGCTGCAGTAATATTATTCAACAGATACATTCAGTTATGTATAGTACGGTTGTCCTTCTACCCATGTAGAATGGAAAATGATGCAAGTACTGTTGGGGTTTGTTGATGGGAACAGCTTTAAAAACTGGGGAGCAATTGCCCAAGAGAAGTGATTAAAAGCTCACTGTTTGGTCATCAAAATAATTAACTCATACCAAACTCTGTAGGAACAATGCAGCATTGTCCAGGTGAAAGGCCTGTATAACCCCATAGGGTTTATCCAGCTATGGCCCTTATTATTTTCCCACAACTTTGTACCATCAAATCCCTGTAATTAATGCTTCTCATGAATTACGACCCAACATTTCTAGTCAGCTTAATTTGGGACCATCCAAACTTTCAAATCATCCCCCAAACATCTATGTGCATTCACTTCCCGAAACTTAGACGACATGAGTCACTATCCAACTCTTGACTAGAGACAGGGATTGAATTACTTGAATAGTTTAAATCTCTAATTATCCAGCTTGCTACTTTCCCAATGTACCAATTTGAGGTATGGTGATTGCCTTACCCTCACTCAGCTAGTACATTGCACACATGCACATGCTCACCTACCTTTCTGCCAAAGAATAAAAGAAGATATAAGTGAACAACACTAGATTTTTCCACTGACTGAATCATTATCACAGCAGTTTACACACTTAAAAATGTGAGCTTTCTAACACTTAGGAGGAGTTTGGAGCATCTTAAAACAGAGCCCCTGCTGCTCACCTGAATATTTTAGCCAGAGTACTCTCAATTTTCTTAAAGTCAGGCCTTTTCTCTGGATCTTCCTCCCAGCAGCTCTTCACTAGTGTATACAACTTCAAACAAAAATTTAAGGAAAGTCCACGTGAGTTAAGGGAATTTCTGGTTACTCTTGACTGGCAGCATATTAAATCATGTGACTAACTGTCGAACCTATGGTTAGAACACTCATTGCAGGCATCCTAAACTTAACTCTGTGATGACTAGTGACATGATCTTAACTTGAATTTGCAGTACATAAATGAAAGACAAGTAAATGGATCCAGTCTTGTAGCTGGAGGCAGGTACAGTTATTGACATGGAGGTAAATGCTGTGGTAATTATATTTCCAATCCCCCGAGTCTGGAATTTTTCTGAAACTAGTGATTTAGCCAAAAAGAATGGGGTTCATTGCTGAATATGTGGATGTCTACAATACAGACATTTCCATCTGTGCAAGAAGCCTTAGGGGCTGTAAAATCAGTGGAGAGAGGTATACTCGAGGTGTGATTCATCCCATCTCAAAGATATCTAAAATAGGTCAGAAGAGTGGCACCATATAAGTGGCTATTTCTTTCTAGTGAAATAATTTCCATGAGTTGTATTCCACTTTGCTGGTAGCAACTATGGAATGCCATTTCTTCCCACAAGGTTAGGGTATTTGGCATAAAAAGCATGGCTTTCACCTTCCCATGATCATGGGCTCTAGTCTGGCCAGAACTTCCACCCTTCACCCAGAAAATGGCCTAGTTAATTATTAGCTTACTTCCACCTGTCTTTCTCCCACTGTTTCCAAGGTCAGATCTGGTCGGAAAGGCTTCACTCCTTTGCCGCTCTCCACTCTGTAAAGTTTCTCTAACACACGAAAAGATCAAAGTTTTAAACAAAAAAGCATAAGAAGGACATTGCTTGTGGATAGAATTCTATGGTTACAAGCTACTGTGCAAACAAAACTCTTGAAGACAGTTCCCTCATTTTGATGTGAATTTCAGCTTTGGATGTTTTCTAAATATATGGCACAAGATCAAAACAGGCTGTCTTGAAGGCCCCTGAAAGCAAAATGAATAGAAATGTACATGAGTATTTATTGGTCACGGTAGACATGGTTATGGCATCTTCCCAAATGAATGTTGGGCATTATTAGTGTGCCTCTCAGCATGAAGTATAGTTATAGCAAAAACAATGTGAAAAGCCCATTGCAACTTGATCAAAAGTGTTGAGACATACAACTCCGTCAGAGCAGTACAAATCATCCTGTAGATGCTCAACTTTCTTAAAACTAAGATATTAATATATATGGGTTAAAAGTATTGCATTTAAATGCTTAAAAAGCTTAAATGTTAAAAGCTCATTTGTCCTCTTAGTCAGGAAAACCATTCTATGAAAGTTATTTGGATTCTGAACACATCAAAATCAGGCTGCATTTGCACATCTCAACTTAAGCACAGTAAATGAGAGCTAAAGCAAAAACATCTCTCTTTGTCTTTCTCCAGAAGATCTCAAGAGTTCCAGATGGGGAGGGATTTAAAAAACAGAGGTAAATTTTTAACTTTGGAGTAAAGGGAAATTGAAAGGCATCTGTGAACAAGCATGAAACACATTTTTTTAGTAATGTCTGGTTATATTTGGGATACAATTTTACTGAAGGAAGGTTTGTAATCGTGATGGTAAGTGCAAGTCTAGGGCAGCTAGTGATGCCTAAGCATGCATGATCACCCTAAAATGATGCAGCAGCTTCCAGCTTTTTGGTACAGAAATTAAAGACTAGAGAAGGAGCTGGAGACTTAAGTGTCCCAAATGCTATGGAATGGAGAGACTGCAAAGAAGAGAGAGAGACAGGAAAGTCTGTGTAGGGCTCATGTATGCAAGAGGAATGTGCTGGATTTCCATGTTGCACGCACACCTGAGAGAGGAAGTAACAGCAGCTATTAGCAGCACTGCAATTAGCCAGTAGCAGAACGTAGTGGAACAAGGAGGCAGCTTGAATTGAGCATTTGTACGTGACAAGATTTCACAGTCTTGAGCAGTGAATGAGGTGTTTCTGCAGAAGAGTGGAGTAACCAGATGGGGAACAGCTGTCTCACAGAGACATCAGTGAAGAGGACTATGACCTAGTTACTTCTATACATTAGAAATCCAGTTTTGTATACCTGTCATCCTATGGGACTTCCTTTCTCTCATTAGTAGCAAAATTATTGTACATTAAGTTGATTGATACATATTTGCAGGTTGAGAAAATTGGCTCACTGAGTAACTTGAAGTTGAGTTTCCTTTTTCTAAATTGGTGGATGGAGCCTAGGTATGGGGTTTTTAATAAGTCTTTTAAAATCTAAACACAGCCCTTGCTACTGTCAATGAAGTCCTGGAGAAGCAGTTCAGTTGTCTTGAAATATCAGTATCATGTCTTCTAACTTGCAGAGACTAACTCCTGAGAGCCGAGCCATTGAAAGACTCTTCAGGTGACTTAAAAACCAAATGAATCGAACATGCAACCAGAACATTTCTTTGTCCATTACCATTGACTCTAATTTGGTGTTCTTTTCTCTTTTTATCTTAGAAATTTGTAAATTAATGGTCACCCCCAGTTTGAGCTACTGTCTTCCAAAGTTAGATGATGCCGCAAAGAGAATTCAGAGGTGTTTGAGTAAGTATGGTTCACTGTCTTGCTCATCTTGGCTAATGAATGAATCCAGGCATTTAAATGAGGAGCCACTTCAGCAACACATAATAAAACTTAAAGAAACTTGATAAACTGATGAACACATTTACTCAAATTGCATAATCAGTAGTCGAGAATAATACCAGAAGCCATTAGGTCAGCAATATATATCTTAGACATCTACTAATGCTTTTAAGGAAAAAAAGCTTTATGGAAAAAACAATCTTCTCACTGAATGGAAAACTTAAAATTTCAACTGAAATTTACAAAGCAGATTATTTTTTTAAGTTACAGTGGATCCAGACCTACCAAACAGGTTTCATGGCCAGTGAGGTCATTGCTGTCTTACCCAACATGCTGATATGTGACCATCTCCAGCAACAGCATGTTGCTGTTAGGTACCTAGCTTAGATGCTAAAAATTCTTTCAGTTGGATGAATTAACCTAATGCTATTTGAAAGGGACAGTCTTTCCAAAAGGACAAAATGCAATTTTAAGAAACAGGTGAAAGATAAAACAAGGAACCAGGTTCTGACTATGACAGCCAGGGTCAAATACAGAGCAGTGAGGATGCCACCACATCTCAGAAGAGCCAGGAAACACTGTGTCTGAGGCTAACTTAATAACCACTAACACAGCACAGCAAGACTATAACTGCTCATCAAGTAGTTAAAAGAATATATTTTGCTATGGATTTGCTTTACAAGTCAAAATGAGGAAGGAAGGGCATTGCATTTTCTCCACCTATGTTGGCGATACTTGTAAAATCCTTGCATTCATGAGGATTGTGCCTGCCTCTTCCCAAGAAAAAAGGAATAGAAAAACTTTCATTTTCTCTACCTTATATTAAGCATGGAATCCTGAAGAGTTTGGTTTATGGGGAACAGGCATTTCTAATATTTTAGATCTACATTTATATTAAAGAGACGGTGATGTGAAATACTGTGTTTCCCCAAATATAAGCATAGATTTGAGATAATGTAGGATGATGAACATGCCCCAGAAATTATTCTCAAATGTAACTCAGGAAAAGAGCTATTAGGCTGTTGAGCTGCTGCTCTAGATGTTTTAACAAACGTGAGGCGGATCTAACAGAATGACTCAGACGTAAAGGCAGTGTCTAAATTGTTGTTAGTAACTGTCACTAGGAAAATCCCAAACCCACACATGTTTTTATGTCAGTTCTAGTATATAATAACGCCTGGATTCTGGGAATTGGGATTGACTTGGCTGTTAGCCACTCAAAAACAATGTCACAAAATGCACAGTCTGTGGTTTAATGGATGCATTACAGGAGGATATGATTTTTCTGACAGAAGTTAAATTGCTGAAGTTAATTATAACTGGCTTGAATAAAATCTGAATTGCCAGTTTTTAAATGTCAACTGTTTTTGTGTCATGCTGCTGAGTTTTTCTTGTTCTGTGTTGACATTTCTGATTTATGCTGCTTAAAATGAGTGACATATGTTGTGCACAAGTCATAACAGAAAGACCTTTGTGGCCTTTAAACGTTACAGTAAGTCTGGACAGCATGCTATAATGTTAACTTCTGTAATGCTATGGCCCAGGTGAGGAGGGAAGAGAAAGGGCAAGAAAACTCAATGCAAATTTTATTTACAGAAAAATAAGGACACTTGCCTCCACAGTGAGATTATTCAAACAGGTTTTTCATTCATCACACAGTGAAAGAAGCAGCAGTTCAAGCAGTTATCAGAGACAGTACCTTTCACAAAACATGGAGAACAGGCCAGTTACAGCTACACCATCCTAGAAGGCTGCAATAGAGGAGAAATTTGTGGATTTACCTCTGTTGTCCCGGCAGTGTCCGGTGTAGAACGTCTCTCTGCGTAGGATGATTTCTTGGGCAATGATCCCATAGCTGTATACATCACCCTTCTGAGATACATCAGCATGACGGAGATGCTCAGGAGCTGTCCACAAGTCTGAAGATCCAGAGAGCAACAGGGGATGAGGGAAAAGGGGAAGGGAGAGCAGTAATTGAAAAAAAGGTGATCCTTCTCAGAGCATCCACTGGCTATAATGATATTGCCTTTTACTCTTTCCATATCCAACCCAGAACCCATGGGTACTATTTATTTTCTACTTTAGCATTTTTCTTGAGAAGCTGACATCAGTACAGTTAGATAAACCTCTGATGTGGTAGTTTCCAATTGTCTGGGATTTGCTGACCCTTTCCGTTGTAGATGCAGATCCTCACACCTTCAGAAAATGTTATGTTTATTGGCAATGAACTTGCTTTTCTTGGCTACCTTTCATGGGCTTCTTAGAAATAGCCTGTGCATTTGTATAAGACCAAGGAATGCCAGTGCTATAATAAAAAAAAACCCTGAGACATAAATTATTGAGCTAGATGCAAGGAGTTTGTTATACAAGGTGAGAAGACTGCAGTATTTCCCAATGGCTTTGATATCATGAAGCTATTGAAATAATTCTCAAATGCTTTGGAACCTGACATGATATTACCTGCTCATAACCACTTACTTTCTATAGATTTTATTAATCTATATTTCTAGTGCAACGAGCACTATTGTACCTCAAAACCAGAATGCTGCCCTGGTACAACAGTTTGTTGTGACATGCTAGTGATGTTTCATAACAGTGACCTGAACACAGTAACCCTGAAAACAGAGTTATGATATCAGGCCGCAACATCCAGCCTCACTGAATCTGCAATCTCTTGTGAAACACTAAGTTTTCTTCAAGGAAAGAGATCTAGTAGCCAGAAATTTTGAGGTTGTTTATGAACAATGAAAGAAGATAGATATATTAAAATGTAATAATAATATAAATTTAAATATGAAATTTAAAATGAAGAATGAATAGAGCATTTACCTTTAGGGCACTTTGCTTACTCTTTCTATATGTATTTATTGCTACTTTTGAGCATGTTTGTGTCTGAATGTAAAAATCTTCTCCAACCCAGTTGCAACCACAGTTTCTTCTCAGGTCACATGCTGCAGTTACAGCAAAGTGCTGTGCTTATTATTCCCCAAGCTCTACTCTGTGTCAGATTCACATGACATCATTTCAGATGGGCTCATCTTTTCGCTCCAGATCAAGTAAGAAAAAAAGATGAGTAGAAAAGAACAGATGATTATACTGTGTAATCTTTTACCATAACAGGCTGTTGCATGGGAGGAAGGGGTACAAAGAAAAGAGTGCTCTATTTTAGAAAATTTTCTATTTTAGAAAATTGTTCTATGAATGTGAGGTGAATAGAAAATGTAAAGAAAAATTATTAAAATTATTCCAGTCTGGTTGCACACATATTGTTAGTTTCCTACCTAAGGAATGAAAAACAAAGTTATCATTGCATATCATTACAGATTTTTTTAAGGATTATCAGTCATGACTGTCAACATTCAAATGATATCACAGAGCACTGTGGTAACACAATCAATGACAAGATTACTTGTACTTAACTCCTTTTTTTCTTCACACAAGTTTGGCATTACTGCTGAAGAGATCTGTTTGCATGAAGGACTTGGATGCTGAAAATGTTTCTTGCATCTCAGCCGCATGTGAAATCTCTGTTTTCTAAACTGAAAGTTGAATATTCATCCTTCCTTTCCTTCTTACTTACACTAATTTCTTTCTCTACCTGCTAATAATTTTCTTTCATTGTGTTAAGACAGTATTTTCAGATATCATTTGTATAATGACTGCTACATAAATTAAAATCATATTGTACATTTTGTAGGCCATAGTGGTCTATGAAGTTAAGAAAATTCCAGTGGGTTGGAAACCATGAGGGAGAGTTCAATTAGGCATTGTTTTTACCTTTCCTTGGAGGCAGAATTGAATTGCAGCCAAAATCAGTGATCTTCACTACCATGCGATTGTCTACTACACAGTTGGTGGACTTGAGTCGACCATGGACTTCAGTTTTGCTTGAGTGCAGGTAAGACATCCCCTATGACAACAAAAGAGGAGGAAAGCATGACTACATGTGAGACACTTAGCTGTTACCAGACTCAACAAGAATGTGAATATGCTCATGTCTGTCCAAGTAATTAAATGGCCTTCATCTGCAATGGATATGCATAAATCACAACTCCCTTTCCTATTATTTTACAGAGGAGACTTTCCAAGATGATAGGAACAGTCCATGTTAAGAAGTGAGGAAATGGATCATGTCATGGAAGACCACCATTTCTCTTTGTTAACAATAGTCTGATATAACATCTTGGGTTTTGACAATATTAGAACACAATTAAGCAATTAGAGAAGTTTATTTCCTCCCACAGAAGTTTTAATTTCACTTGCAATTAATGTTTTTTGGTAAATTTAATACAGATTTATTAGAATGTCACACAAAAAAAGTGCTTCCAACTACATGTTCATCCAATGGACATCCATAGGTGTGAGAGGAATTGCTCCTTATATCTATAAACATCTTTGAAGATTATCACACACCAGAAACTTAATTCAAAACATTGCAGCAGATCCACTTCTGCAAATCAGAGGGCTAAAGAGGGGTCAATGCAGAGCGTTAGATGATGCACTAGGGCTTAAATCACACAGAGAATAAGACTAGAAGATCATAAAGGTCTCTTCTGACCTGACTGGTTTTCTTTGTACAAGTCAATGCATATCAGCTATCTATGAGCTAAACAACAAAGTGAGCATCATGAGGACTGGCCAATGCAGTTTCATCTTTATTTCCTGAGATTCAGTCTCTTGACTCACAATACACACAGGCATACAAAGGTGTGTAGTTTGCCTCTTTTTACTTATCACATCTGAAATTGTCTCATTTAGTCCAAGACAGTCTAATACTCTGCAATACATGCAAAGGGGCTAGCACTGAGGCACAGCTGGAAAAGAACATTATTAAGTGGGCGTAAACTGAAGAAGAGAGTAGGTATGCTAATTTGCACCCTCTTGCTATTATTTATTCTGTTTCATCTCTCTCTTCTGAACTACTTACACTCACACCTACTTATAGTCTATTGCTGGTTGTTTTTCTTCCTATAGTCCTCTTTCCTTTGTGCTCAGTATATGAAGCACAATCTATATCCTATGGAAGCCAGAAGTATGTCATATCTGTTTAGCTTCTTCTCTAAATGATCTTCCACTTAGACTCCTACATGTATAGCTCATCCTTTTGCATAACTGAAAGACAGAATTTAATCAGGGTTACATAGCTCATGTGGTCATGAATACACAGTATGACATGCTGGGTTTTCTTTTCAAATACTGGCTACACATATTTGGGAATGGATCAGCAAATGCAACAACAGATCACTGAGACATGAGCTGAGTTTTGGGCACAGCAGATGTATGTCTGAGACACAAGCAGCCTGCAAAAGATGCAATCTCTGGAGAATGTTGTTGGACTGGTTATCCTCGACCTATCTAGACCATGCCAAAATTACAGAGATTGTGTGCACACTATACCCAAGGAACACATTTCTTGATTAAGCAGCTTTTAGCATGCAGCCCTGATGACAGTACCCAGGATGTTTTGCCTCATTTAGGCCCTATTTCCTCCAGCTGTGCCTTCTTCCAGCTCCTGCTTTCATCAGCCAGGAAATGTACCCATTGCTACAGCAGAATTCTCAATCACTCTCAGCATCAAATGACAGGCAAAAGTAATTTTGATTTCCTTATCCCAAGGCTTTCTTGTTAAAAATTTCTGGAGGCAGAAGTCTTATAGGTGTATCTGATAAAATTTTCCTCTTTCCTTACCACTATCCTGTGCACTTACCTGAAAACAAGAAACTGTTAAGAACTCACAGTGTGATTTTCAAAATTTATGACTTTCAGCGCAATACTTCTAAATACTTGAGCATTCTTGTAACCTCTGCTCTGGAGCTCTGAAGCTTTAATTCTGACTGAGAACCCTTCTCCTGACACAATGCAAGAATATTACAATCCCTTGCACAACATCCTGCAGCAGCCCCTTATTTAATAGTGTTGCAATGACAAGTGTATGCACTAATAACTACAAGGTTTGATTACTGCAATTCCTTCTTGGCAGACCTTTCATCAGAGCTCTTTGGTCACATATAGCCAAATCCATGTAGCTACAGGTGATGCCATCAATCCTAGAGACAGCTAAGGCAGGAAAAAAACAAAGAGGGGTGGAAGTAAATGGAGTAGATTCAGGCCTTCTCCTTTGCCCACCCCACCTTCTCTAGTGAACTAGGGACTGCTCTAGGAATAGTCATTACTTGGCTAGTTGTACCAGGGAATACAAATGATCCAGCCTTTGTTAAGAAACAGATGCAGCACTTCTGTGCCAGATGAAGACCAGGCAAAGTACTAGGACTGTTTGGTAAAAGCAGAGTGTAGGAAAGTGGTGGTGTGGAGAGGGAGAAGCATATAAAAAGGCAAAGGAATCACAGGAGCTGGTCACAGGGATTTTAACAGCCTGGAGAGCTGGGGCTGGACTTGAAGAGGATGGATACTGAGATGAGAGGAACCGGAGCTGAAAAGCCACAAAGTGACTTCTGTAAAGAGAGAAGCCATTCAAGTCAAAATAGACAGGGTGCCTGGAGCTGTGGTTTGGGAATAGCAATACAAGAATTTAATGGAAGTGTCTAGGTCCCAGAAGCTTCACCACAGTATCAGGTCTAAGAATAGGAGAGGTTGGCAGATCATCCAAACTACAGTAATTTTCCAGATATTCCTGGGTACATACAAGTTTTCAGGAGATTTTGCAAACCATCTCTACTAACATAGCTAATAAGGCTCAGGAGCCATTCCAGAGAACAGATGCAGTGTACCAATCCATCCTCAGGTGCTGTGTCCCCTTTACCAATGGTGCAGCAAATGACTGGTTGTGAAGTCTTGGTACCAGTGCAGTCACTGGCATTTGGTCACTCCCTTCAGAGGGACTGGGATTTCTCTCTCCTCATAAACGGAGACAGTACTAGTCTCTATTTGCTAAGTAAACATCTGAAGGTGAACTGAAAAAGGTTAAAAATACCCTGGGTTTAGATATGCTATGAGGAGGCAGGGAAACTCCACTGCTGCTATTTAAAGTCAAACTTAACGCTGAACATTAACTGAACTTGAAACTCATTAACAAGGCCAACAAACTCTGGCAAGTTGGATTAAGGGGGCTTTAATAAAGCACAAGATTTTCAATATCTCTTTAGAACAGACACAGTGGAGCCATTCATCTTGGAAACTAAATCTGAACTTATGGATGTAGGGAAACAGGAGGACTGTCCAATTGCAAACCAGCAGTAGGAAGAGGAGAGCAGTTGAGCACTAGCCAAAGGACAGAGGTGATTCTTTACACTTATCTGCAGAGGTATAATGAATTATTATACCTGCGAATTACAAAGGCTTCTTAACTACCAGCTACAGTTACAAGTCTCCAGTGTAGAATAGAATTTCTTTACCATGCATATTGATTCTTCCTAGAACAAGGACCTAAAGTGCAAAGATCTGTTGGAAGCTACTGAAAAATAGCCTTGATTTCTATAAAAGACTAATTTCTTCCCTCTCAAACTGCTTGAAATGGATAGCTGTAGTGAGAAACTAGAGTTTCTCACTTTAGTGAAAAAGTCAGGGTGGTACATAAACAATTTGTTTAGAAAAAGTTGATCCCATCTCTGGATACAAATTAGAATACTTCTGTCATTTGAAAAAATACAGTTTTGCTTTGTATGCTTTACCTGAGGCCAGAAAGTAGTGTGTTTTGCAGATCTTGTGACTGCCTAAGCCCTACTAATCAGAGCCACTGGTCAACAGATTGTAACCCTCTGATCTTTGGGTCACATTTCTTTGAGGCATGCTTTATTTGTTTATTTATAAAAAGCCCAAAGCCAGCTCTGGCCCCTATTTTCTCCTTCAGTCTGAGAGCCACTGCCTTTCTCCTGCCTCTCTCCCCAGAGGAGAAAAAAGTGGGAGGACATATAGCTCTAGCCAAGAAGGAGAAGACCTTGAGAGCTACATTTCTCAGATGATCAGTTTTGCAAGACAAGATTGGTTGATTCCCTTCAGACTGTCAGCGGCCCACTTACCTTGGCAATATCATACATGACAGAGATTTTAAATTCCCAGTCCATGAACGTGACATCAGGATAGGAGATTTTATCATTTAAAACATCCTGTCAAGAGAAGAAAAGTTTTTTGGGGAGAAAACAGAAGATGAGATGTGAGTATCCAAATTGCAGAGCCTTTTAACTAGCAACTTTATTTTTTACAGGGAGTACATGCACTAGAACAGAAGTCGACTCAAAAAATAGGGAATATGAAATATAGTTTAAGTTTGCACTAGAAAAGTGGGGACTCCAGAAAGGAGGGTTTTGTGCAATTAAAGATAAATTGTGAAATTGTTCTTAAGCTAAGTCTTTAAGAAAACAAAATAACGGAGACACAAATGGTCAAGGTGTGCAAGAGGAAGGGAGAGGATTTTTCATGTTTTGTGCTCGCAATCCATTTCCTACCAATTTACTCATGGCTTTATAAGTTCAAAGTAGACTGTTCCTTTATCTTAACCTGCCAGTCACACACTGACTTGACTTTACATTTACACTTACTTTACTGCTAAAAGCAAACTTCCATGAGTATGCCACTTTACAAGAAAAGGACTCAGAGAGAGAGCTGTTATTTTGCTGCCTGGCTGTGAGATTGTTCCAGAGACCTCGCTGCTACAGGAGAGTTTTTGTATGAATGCAGAAGCAGAGACAATATATGCCCACAGAAGAGTTGATGCCACCATCACTTCATGATTAGCACTGAAATAATATTGGTAATAATAAACCATAAGTCTTTTCATAACTTTTCCCAGGCATCAATTTACCATTTCTTTTATAAACAAAAATAAAATGTTGTTGTCCCTTACAACACGGAATAGTTGTCCCTTATTAGTATGGATATATTCTTTTCTCTATCCTTGCACACTCTAGAGGCACTTTGGGGTCCGCAAGGGCATCAGCAGAGACAACAGCTACGACTTGGAAAATGAAGATAAAGTTATATCCTATATGCTTCCAGTTGGGGACACAATACAAATGTTGCTGTGGCCTGGGCAGAGCTCTGCTTGTACTTATCCTTGCCTCCACCTCATCTCATCCTCTTCCAGCTTGAGAACCATCAAATTGACACAGCAACACCTGGGGAAGGCTGGAGAGAACCAAGCAAGGGATAGAAAACTTGGGAGTCAGAAACCTGCCACCACTTGCTCAGTCCATAGCTGCTGCATGAGGGCCAGAGACATAGAGGTGGGGATTTTTTTCCTTACTTTGAAATTTGATAATTTGGGGGTTTAAGGAGAATTCTTTACCCGCAGAGAACCTCTTTCGCAGTACTCAATCACCCCAAAGATCATGGTGTCTATCTTCACAGTGCCATAGAACTTGGTCAGATTGTAATAATCAACCTGTAGGAGCTAGAGCAGAAACATTTCATCTGTTTTTAAAAGCAATCATTGTTAATACAGAAACACAAGTCACAGATACTTATGCGACATGGCTTTTTATCTCAGGCCCGGATAAGATGTATGAGGTTCCCTAGTGTGTACTAAGGCACTGAGTGAAGTACTTGAAGATGTTTGTTATTCCAGAGCCTTCTGGATTAGGGAGATAAAAGTGGCTGCTGTTGGATACTGCAAGTCAGTTCCAGAGCCCCCTATAATATCCATTATTGCCTCTCAAACCTCCCAGCTGACAGTGACAGAATGTTGTGAATCAGTCAGTAAATGAGCAAGTAATAAAAATTTAATTACGCTGCATGATATTATGGACTTTGTCCATTTAAATAGACAACTATAGTTTACTTTGAGGTATTTTTACAGCTTATTGAATTCACAGCATAGCTGTGTTGTGTGAAAAGAAAACCATTCAAAAAAGATGCAGTACTGCATCCAAATTCATGTCCCATGTTGGAAGAGTCTGAATGCACAAGCCAGCAGAGTATTACTTATATTTTAAGAGCTGCACTTGGCATTCAATAATAAGATTTGACTACAACATTCTGCTATTGATGACTTAGCAGGATATGAGCTAAAAGAGTGAATTGCCTTTTGGAATTAGCTATAAAAATGTATTTAATAAGGCCATATGACAGCACATGAATTACTTCATTCATCTTCAGTTTCATTGGTATACTATTCAGACTCTGAACTGTTGATGAGATCACACACACAAAGAGAAAGTTCCTCAAACAATATCCTTTGAGGAACTCATTATCCATCCATCTCATAAATGTGCACAAGCATATGGCTGTTGGAAAGCAATGACTTCACTCAGAGTTTCCATCCCATCCTGGTGTGTCCAGTTGCTAATTGTAACAGGTACCTTGTTCAGTTCCATTTTTTGCTTCTCTGAGAAATTACCATCACTGTTTTTGAGATCCTTTAGGATCACCACCTGAAGGAAAAATACCAGTGGGGAAAAAAGTCATAGTTTTAGTACAACAGCAATTCGTCCTTCTTTTCCAAGAAATGTCCATACAAAGAAATACTTCAGAAACACCTGCCTACTGCTTCACTGTTGAAGTTTCAGTTTATCATCTAATAAGTACTGGAGTTATATTTTCTTCATAGGATTTACTGTTTAGAACCGTCGATTATGCAGATTTTAACTCAACATGAATATACCTCAGGCAGGCAAGCAGCTCTACTGAAAGCGCAAGAACTGCTATGTAAATGCCTTGTCCTCCCTTAATCTATTAATCTCCGCAGTACCAAAATGTATCAGATTTTTGGTCCCTGTGTTTCTGCTTCTGTGCTCCTGGACTGGGCTGGGTGTTCATGGAGTCTAATATTTTGCCTCCTGTCAGGAAGCAAAATACAAACCACCTGATAGGGAGTAAATAGCTTATTCCTTCTACAAGATCAAGCCATTTTGCAAGGTCAAAGGAGGTGGAACAACCTCCTCCCAGCAAGAGCCCTCATAAGGGCAAGGAAGTGATTGTGGACACTGCAGTCAGGTTACCTTCTTGTCATATTTGCCCTGGCGCAGTCTCTGGGTGGTGTCACGTCTCTTATCTTCATCGATCTGAGAACAAAGAAGAATAATTAACTTGCAATTATCACCTACTCCCCACTTGACAGATACAGAGAGATTAATAATGTCTGTGTGTGCCACACAGAGAAGCATGAGCCTCTCTCTCTAGGGAGGGCCACTACATGCCACAGAAAGTGTTGGACATCCATGCCACTCCCAGGCCCTCTGCCTGCTGCTTTCATGCTCTTGGACATTAGAGAGGCATAACAAAGCACAGGGAAATCATTTGTAACAGAGAAAGACTGGAAACCAATACCCCTCCATTCCCCCATCACAAAATGAGCTTTACTGACAGGAACAGGTATATTCTATCAGGGAGCAATAGATGGGGAATAATCTTTTTCTGCAATATAGCAAGCGAGGGTTGAAAAAAAAATAAATTAACAGATCCTAGTTCTACCAGAGCCAGAGTCTGCACTGTAGTCAGAGCTTCTAAAAACCCCAGCATTGATGGTCTCTAGAAGACAGAATCCAAGACCCAGCTTTGGGCACTGTGCTTCTCTTACCTTCAGACTAACATGACTTGTCTCACTGGTCTCCAGAGGCAAGATTTCCTCAGGTGGTATATGGGACCATTTCTTCCACCGGCGTTCATTATCTCTCCTGTACTTCCTAAAAAACCAGGGAAGTCTTTCAGAATATCCTCCCAATGAACCAAAACCCACAAAAGGAGACTAGGACAGGGAAGCTTATAGTGTCAGGATGACACAGGAATGGTTTGTTAGGTTGACAGTGCTTGAGCACAAGCCCTCTGGCTCTCACACAGTTTTCCAGTTTGAGGATAATTCCCCTAGCTTTGGGAAAGCCTAAATGCTCATTCAATTCTGTAGCAGAGAAACAGAACAGATTTAGCAGAACAACTGCAATTGCCAGTCTCAGGGGCGGTCAGCACAATTTAAAGCACAAAGATCCATCTGGATTTTATATAGTTTTCTCCTCCATGTTATTGAACGTACTTGGAAGAGAGGTCCCACAAAGAAATGCAAGCCAAAGGCAGTCCTGCCGTCAGCAGTGGATAGTAAGAACTTGTGTGAATACAATGCCAGGAGAGGAAGTAACAATGGTGTTGAGATGAGATGCCTTTTTGTGGATGTCCCTTGTATTCTGCACATTTTGTAAAAATGAGGGAAGAGCCCTTGGAACAGGGAGAAAGAAACTGCTGTCCTTCCTGCAGAAATTCAGAGCAGGCACTGTTTTTTCTTAGAGAAGTAGCGAAAAGCTGCAAGAAGACTAGTGTTCATCAAATTACCCACTTACTCATGCAAGTCCCTTCTTTACTAAAACCCAAGAACTGACTGGAGAGTCTGCAGAGGAATCCTAATGCACTGATGACAACTGGCAAATGCTCCAAATGGGAGAACCCATACTGTTGCCTAATAACATTCCCTTTTCCAATATCTTTTTAGCATATATTTGCACAAGAAAAAGAAGACCAATAATTTCTCAGTTCTATCTTGTAAGGTGTGTGTGTCACCAGGATGTACTGCAATTCAAACTGGTATCAGCTGGTGATTAAGAACATACAAAACTGAATTAAAATCTACTAGGCCTAATATTTAGTTATATGTTTTTCAGGACTTTGCCTTCTTACTTTGCAGTCAGAACTACACAGGTAGTTGTGGGATAGTTCGAGTGTCCTAGAAAATTGGGAGATAAAGAAGGAATAATGAGGCATTTTGCCAATTTTCATAGCTGAGTTTCTCTTCTCTTTTGCTTGTTAGGGGACAATCTTTGGTAGCAATTATAGTTGAGAAGTTTACTATTGTTTTGACACTAAGAGGGGAAGCTTTATTCTAAAAAATTCCCAGAAATCTCTTCTATATTTGATGCCTGGGAATATTGCAATGATGTGTATACAATAATAATCTAATAATCTAAACAGAATCTTTAGATTTTATGCATCTGCAAATGTGGAAAAGTACAGAATCTTTTACAAGTCCATATCGTCAAGACAAATGTTTATTTATTTTCATAGCCATTTCAAACTTTACCTGTTTAAAGTGTTAGTGCTTAGATGTGGCAATGATTAGCTCCTTCATTTCTTGAGTAAAATTGGATGTGTAAGAGTTATATATCTTCGTCTTTGATTTTTTCCTTGCTTTAGTTAGGAAGACGGATTGGTCTACTCAAAACAAGAGAGCCTGGGTAGCATCTGTTTCTAATCAACTTTCCTTAAGACCTGATTTTCTTGCCTTTTCTGAAGTTCTCTGATATATAACAAAGATATAGACTGAAAACAGATGCACAGATAAGACAATTTTTAAAAGATTAAAAAAACCCATATACTTTGGAAATAGGGTGGGATTTCTTCCATCAAAAGGAGATATCACTGATTTCTATTTCTGCTTTTCCCATCATGATAAAGCTAGACTGTGTTATATTCATGAAATTCCAAGCTGTTAGAAGAATTGTTATGCAAGGAGTTGGACTGAGTCAAAGGAATAGATCCGTGCAATGAAAACACCAAAACCTCATGGTGTTTTGACTTCTACAGTGACTCAAGAAAAATACTTCCTTCTAGACTGAACTTTTATGTCACCAATAGGATAAAAAACCAAAGTGAACCCCAAGAAAGCAAAAGATGGGCAGTAAAGTGGAAAAAGACTGAAGACTGGTCTGAGACACATGTTTCTGTGTATAGGAATCAGAGATTTTTAGCACATGCAAGAACACTGAGCCTTGCTGCACCTTCTCCCTTCATTATTAACCTGTCATAACAACGCTACAGATGCAAGCACTACTTGGCATATACTAAAGAGTTCACACTGAGGGCAACCACGCAGGTATGTAAGGTAAGCTAATGAATGGCTCTTGGAGAGATCAAAGGCATTGCCCTAGGAGGAAAACTGTTCAAGGACAAACAAACAGAAAGACAAAGGGGTTGGTACCTTAGAATCACCAAAGAGATGATCAGAACCAAAATCACAATTCCTGTGAGTGTAAATACAGCAATAGTCAAGACGTGGGGGCCTGCAGAAAAGAAAAAATGAAAAATAAACAACTTGACAGAGGATAATGAAAAACAATATTGTGTTTAAGAAATTACCCTCACTCACACATGCAAGTCACAGTAGCTGACCAGGGATAATTTTTGGACACATCCAAATTGAGAGGCTTTGGTAAAGTCCAGCACTGCCCAGAGGTGGCATGCACCTGCCTCTTTCGATGCAGGATGAAGCATGACCCAGAGCAGTGCAGTCTTAAATCCCCACCTGAGGCATGGGCACTCTGTAGGGACACTCAGGCAGGAGGTGAATTCAACAGCGCTAAATCTCACATCTGCTCAGCAGCAGTTTCCATGTGTTCTCCTTTTTAAAAACAAACTAGGACAGTCCAGAAATAAAGCTGACTTTTCCTAGTAACTACATTTTTAAAATGAAGTAACCAAATTTCTCCTTGTAATAACTTTGTAAGAGTGGATGGTGGAGGCAACCCTTGGGTACAGCTCTCTGTGAGACAGAGATGTAGATGGGGTGAGCAGATGGCTATTTGAAATCAGTCATTGTTTTCCTCCAGCATAACCAGGGCTTAGTGCAAAATAGGGTCCTCACTGACTCCTTTGGATAAGGCTTTCTCTGAAATGGGGAACAAGGGTTTGATCCTTTTATCAAGGTTGTTTAGTGATGACTTTCTGATTCAGTCCTGCTGGGTACCCATTCAATGAACTATTGGCAGTGAATTTTCCACAACTACCCATACCTTCGTCACCATGGGTCTTTACTGATATAATTTCCTTCAGGATGGGATACACCAGAAGCTTCAACCCAGAATTTCAGCTGATACAGGGTACAGCCACTTATGGATTTGAGAGGCATTTTTCACACGAATTTGTTATCCAAGAAGAGGTAAGGAAGGAAATCATGATACAGCTTTTAACATACACAGACTTTTCAACGTTTCACACCTGGGTTTTCCCCTTATTAATCCAGTTGTTTAAAGTAATTCTGTAGTTGTAAACAGAGCTTTGGAGACTGTGGACTCATTTCTGAACCCTTCTGTAGACACTTTGTTGGGATGACAAAGTGCAACTGAGCGCTGTAGTCTTCAGTAGGAAATTAATATGGTATAGAGGGAAAATTAATATGGTGGCAGCACAAAGCTTTTCAAGTGTCCTTGGAAGCTGCCAGGTGACAAACCATTTGAAAATCTTGTTGTCCAGGAATCTGAGGACTTAGACCCAAAAACCACAGAGCACATGAGGGTTCTAAACCTGAGCAAGCAGGCAAGACAAACAAGGCTGGGAGCTGACTTTTTAAGGTTGTAATTTTCATTGTCTTAATGCAGAAAAGTGAGCTGAAGTCTGTCTTTTGTCTGTTCTTGGAGCTCAGGAGTACTGGGAAGGAAAGTTGGTGGCCACCAACTTCCTTTGAAGAGTAACAGGCCATTAGTGCAGAGCTGCAGCTGGTGGTCACACATCTAGAGTGTACCTACTCTACTGAGCAACTCTCTTAGGCAAAGAAGGCAGAGCAGAATCCTGTTTTGCAGATTGACATGTTGGTTATGGATAGTAAAAGAGCGAGTTACTCAGCCTTACTGAGGCTAACACAATTCTGTCTGTGCCCAGAAACAGAAATAAAAGCACACAAAAAAATTAATACATAAATAAAAACCAAAATTACATACACTAGCTGCCTTCAGAATCAGGCAGCAACTGAGGAAGGATTTTCAACATACCAATTTAAGTGTCTGTATCTGACACAGAATTCAGTTTATTAACTTCTCTGGATTTTGGATCCAGCTTTCTCTGTGTTCATCCCAGCATCAGTCTCAGATTCTCCTAGGAATTTAGTATTAGTCTGATCCTCTCTGTTGAAAACCATCAGTACTACTCTTTTAGTTTGCAAGGAAGGGCATTAAGTCACCGCTATAAAATGACAGATACATGAGAATGTGCAAAGCCATTTTGTACGAATCCTCTAAAACTTAAGGTTTGTGAATCGTGGCTTGCAGCTTAACAATGAGCAGTTTGTAGTTTCCCATGAAAGCGCTATGGGACCCTAATTTCCCTTTCCTGAGACTCTGCTACCACCTCCTGGCTCTTAGTATTACAACACGCAGACAGAGAGTCACAAATTACCTGATCCTCTGAAACCAGAAACGTTTGTGTATTCAAGGCTAATTTTATCCAAGTTTAGAGTGAGGGCTAAAACTCTCTGAATAATGGGAAAACGTGGATGAAGCTCCTTTGTTTATCACGGGATACCAGGAGGAAGGTAGGCAGCAGAACTAGTTCGGCTGTTCTCAGTTACAGCTTAGGAAGGACCAGGGCTCTGGTTGCTCTGTTCACCTCCCTGGAGGAAAAAACACATTCCTGATTGGAAAGTTTTGACTGGCTTTGGCAAGTTTAAAGTGATTACTTCAACTTTGGCCATCTTCTTTTGGGGGAATATATTTATTTAGAATCACACTGAAGAAAGGTTTATTTTTAAAAAATGTGAATCAAATCAAAATAATCAAGTGCCTGTGGGAGGAAGTTTTACTTTAGTTTAGTATGGTTTGGCCACAGTGTCAGGCCTTCATTAAATACTGGATGTAAAACTGCTGGTTTGTAGACACTGGCTTTCTGCAATTCCCACTTTTTTTGTCCTTGTGCAGCAGCTTCAAACAAGAACATACTGAAGAAAATATTTGAAAGATACGAAAATCCACTGACAAGACAGCATTTTGTGGGCCTCGAGGGATGGATGGGAATAGGACTGGAGTCAGAAAGCCCATTCCTCAGGGACGTGATGCAGGGAGACCCTGTGGCTGACTTGTGCAGTGTTGCTATCTGTGCACAGGCAGGACTCATGGTCATACCAAGGGAGACCAGAGATTTGACCAGAGATGAAAAATGAAAACTCCAGTGAACTCCCTCTGCTCTTCCCAGAACTGTCTAACTGGAGTCTTATCAGAGCTGCTGCCTTCTCCTGGCAGCTCCCGTGCATCCCTGCCAATAAACCACTATTCCTGCTTTTCTTAGAAGGGGTAAGACCTAATTTGAGGGCATCTGATTTACTTTACCGAGGAATAAAAATGTTTGAATCCGTTTACCACTTTACTGTGAATGGACTCTTATAGTTAGCAGAAGGTGTTTGTTTCTCCAGTTATGCTTTGCCTATTTCCTAATGAAGGTATGCAGTACAGCAAAATAATGGGAGGCCTTTGCCTATTCCCTAATGAAGGTATGCAGTACAGCAAAATAATGGGAGGCCTTTGCCTATTCCCTAATGAAGGTATGCAGTACAGCAAAATAATGGGAGGCCTTTGCCTATTCCCTAATGAAGGTATGCAGTACAGCAAAATAATGGGAGGCCTTTAGCAGAGACCTTTAACATCTTTGGTTTCTCACTGATGCAAATGACTCAGGTGAACACTAACCCACTGTGTACTAACTCTTGCAACCACTGCCACTGCAATAATTTTTATTCTGCAAATCACACTCTGAAACATATGCCCTTCCATTGCCAATCACCATGTGGCAGCAGTCTTAAAGGGGAAAAAAAAATCTCAGTCTGATCAGACTGATAAGGCTGTACCCTACTGTGCTGAATAACAAGGGCCTTCATCCATTCTATTCAAGTGTCACCAAAAAGTCAAAAGAAAAGGAAGTGGTGATTTCTGGGATTTCAGATTTAAAGTTTGGGTGTAGATAGAGCCATGATTCTATGATAACCATAGTTTCCCATTGTCTTTCTGCAAAAAGTCAGCTATTCTCAAAGACTCCTCCAGAGATGCACCCTGAATTTGCACAGTGCTGTGTCCTCTCCCCAGCTCCCTACAGCAAGGATAAAGGTGCAAGCAGTGATACAGAAATGTAGAATCAGATAACTCATCATGACCTTAATTCTGCTGCCTTTCCTGAACAGTCTTTCAAGCAATTCACATCACCACCATCTTCTAGTGAAGATTATTTGCGCAGGGGTGACCTCTTCTGAAACATCCCATGGTATTCCCCACAATCACTGGTACAGTAAGGAATCTATGAGAGACTTAGTAGCAGTGCCTAAACAGAAAGGAAGGTTTAGAACTGGGCTGGATGCAGAGAACATGGAGCGATGGGGCAGGAGAAGGAAAGATGCTGTTCTGCACCCATCTCCTGGCATCACTGTCTGGGGGCAGTGTGAAGGTAACATGCTGGATTGCACAGCAGGTGGATCCTGTCTTCAAAGTAGAGGCAGATTTAATGGGTGTCTCACCAGTGCCTGGAGTATCACTGGGCAGCTTGTGGTTCTTCCAGATAAAATCCGGACTGTTAGTTGCCTTGTTTGTCTCGTTGTTGTGAGTGTTGAAATACAGAAGAGGTTTGAACTATGGATGTAGGAGAGAAGAAATGCAGTCAGCAGCTGTGCTGTCCCTCTTTTGTCCCTTGCTTCAGACTACCCTTAATAAATGTATTACCCAAACTCAAAGTAATTCTTGCTCTTTCTTCTACAGTGGTGCATTTCTCAGCATAGCCATATGTTCGGCTGCCATATTCTTCCTCATTCCTCCCCTCTCTCTGAAAATAAATCTACCAATCCCAGAAAATACCAGCTGCACTGCACTTACTGAATCACCAGATGACATCAATCCTGTCAGTCCCCAGCACATCTCGCATGACCCCCTTCTGGCATGCACAGCATGCCTTGGCACTCCACCACTCCTGCTGTAGTTATTTTCATCATTCTTATGCAATAGTACACGACATTTTGTTTTTCTTTTCATATATAAGGTCAAACAGTTGCTCCCTGGACATACGTACATGCTTTGCAGTTGGTGATGTGTACAGCAGGGTCAGATTGGTATCAATGTCTCCATATTCATCTAGAGTCACAGGACCCAGTAGACCTGCAGACACAAGGAATTAGTCAGAGAGCTTGTGTTCTCAGAAACACAAATGGGGCACGGAGGATGGGATAAAAAAGGATTCTGATATTCAAGATATTTTTCTTCTTCATATATAGGCTAGAATATGTGTCAACTCAGTGTGGCACTACTTCTCTGTTAATACAACACTACATTTTCTCTACAAAATTCAATAAAATATGTTGAACTGACTGCACTGAAGAGGAAAGTCTCCCTCTAGCTATAGGAAAATGTATTTGTCAGGTTTCTTTAGCATAACAAGAATGTCAGACTAACCTCCCTTGAAGGGACCGTTTTAGAAGTGAAAAAGGAAATAGTCTGTTTCCACCTGCAGTTTGAATCTATCAGCAAGAAAGAAAGTACAAGGACACTTTCATTCCCCTTAGTCTTTTGAAAACTACTTGCTTGGTTCTAATAATACCATTTTAACCAGGTTCCCAAGTCCCTCAGCACAGCTTGATTTTGCTCCCATGAAGTTGGTTGTCTCAACAGGAGCACAAGCATAGCCAATACCCACCACTCCTGAAAGTCTCACCTTCATTTTCCCCCTTATTTTTTTACAGGAACATCTTTTTGATCAGCTTCAGATTGCTCTTTTGCTGCTGTTGATGATGACTTCTTTTATTTTTCCTGAAGTTCAGTGTCATCATTATTTTAGTTCAGGAATTACCTTCTCCCTTTTCACCTCAAAAACTGATGCTAAGTTTTTCATGGTCCACCTTTTTAATACCAAAATAATTATTGTATGAAATCACTACTATCAGCCTCCATCACAAGAAAGAATGAGGGTGATTCAACACCTCTCACTTCCAGGATTTTTTTTTTAAACTAAACTAATAAATAATGAAGAGCGTTACAGTATTTCAGATAAGTAAAAAAGTTTGTGCAATTTAACTTTCACATTTAGAGTTAAACTGAAGAGATAAGTTTACTGATACTAAAAAAGGCATGCTGTCTCCAGGAGGAGTTAGTAAACCATATTTTGCTAGGTATGGGATACCATGATTAAAACAAAGATAAGTCCAAAACCTGTTAGGCCCTCTTAGAAAAATTTGAGAAACTTCTACACATGTGTTTGCTGAACGTAGGTGAGATATAAACAAAAAATTTTGAGTCGTCATTTAGGTACAGATCTCTGATGTGAAGCAATAGCTGGGACTATACTCCCAGAGAGGTAATGTTGTCACTTCTTTGTGTAAGTCAAGTCTTCCCTCTGCCTTTTCCTAATGATTGAATTCTGTGATTTTAAGCCCATGGCCTGCAAAATAAAAGCCCACTGGTGCTAGACAACCTGTGAGAGGAACAAGAAACTTGACTAAGAAGAGCCAAATCATTGCCAGCTGGCCTACACTCACATGCAGGTATCCAGGCCTACATGGCTTTGTAAACTGCAAAAGGTTGAAACTACTTCATTAAAGCTCAGCTGACTTCCGAGTAGTTTTGAACATCAAATACTGAAGATAACATCCTTGTAAAAATTATATAAAAAGAAAAAACTCATTGAAGGGCTTGGACTTGTTTAGTGTAGAAATGACTTATCTTAGGAGTGTTTAAACCCAAATTTCTTTCCCCTCATCAATTTAATGAACCCTGCACAGGACTGCACTTATTTTACCTTCAAAAGTGGTATCTCGGAATTCATTGATTAAACTGAGAGGTGACACTGGGCTCTGGGAGACAATAAATTTCTTGAGAGTATGCCCAAACAGCAAGACTGCATTAGAATAGCCAACAAGAAAGTCATCTTCCATCTAGAACAAAGGAAAAAGAAAAACGGCAGTTTGAGAGTTCATGATTCTGCCTTAAAGCTACAATAACTTTGGTTGTCTGTGTTTGGCAGAAGCTCCAGCATGGAAGACAAGAATCTGCTGAAACTGAGGGAGTAGATGGCCAATGCCACATCAGTGTTGTCACTTGGAAAAATAAAGGTAAACATAATATATGTTTGGTGTGTAAAGACAGGGAGGTCATGAAAACTTACAAGAGATGAACATAAAGTTTTGGTATGCTGATCCTGGTGCAAAGGATTCAAGAAATCCTACGCTCTAGGTTCTTGACAGGTCTGCTCTGCTCAGTGTGTCCCAAAGATCCTGGCTTTGGATTAGACTTTCTGTGCAGATAATTTGGTGCAGTGCCAGCAAGTCTGGGCTTCCAGATGGCCACAGCTAAGGGGCAAGGAGCTGTGCCAGATTTCCAGCAGCCTGCCACAGAGCTGGCACCCAAAAAGCATTGAGCCCAGGCTGGGGGATCTAGAAGCCATGTAAATCCAGCCAGAAGCTTAAGGCTGCCTGCTGAAGAGCTGGAGCTCAAAGCCACAAATCCTGGGAGGAACTGTACATGAAGGGCCTGGTTCCTAGGCAGATGGCAGGAGTATCAGTTTCACTAAGCAGATACAGCATTTCCACAGTTTCTGCTTTTCTGGAAATTAAAAAAAAAATACGTATTTCCAACAGAAAAAAAAGGTTCCTGTTTATGAAGTTTATCTGGAAAGCCCCTGGACAGAAACTGCAATGGTTGTCACCTCTTAGACATATCTGCACAAAAAAATCAGTGAACAGTTACTAGTTCTGAACTTGCAATGCTCACATCTCAATTACATATATAGAACTTTCTTAAGTGATGCCTGTAAGATTGTCAGTCACTCAGAAGGGGAGTCGGAAAGCCATGTACCTATAAGTCTCCCTCATGCCCTGTGAATATGACACTTGAAGACCAAATTAAAAGCTTGAGTTGAATTTCACGAAGTAGGAATATGACAGCCTGCATGTTTGCCTTACAATACTATATTTTTACATCATAACATCAGGACAAAATGTCATCCTGCGATACTGTAAGAAAATACCAGCATGGAAATATGACAGAGGATTTTTAGGTTTCGTTTCCTAGTGCATGAACATGAATGAACTGAATGCAATAATCAGATATAAAATAGTGTAGTTACCAGGGTGTTGTCCTCACACTCTGTGTAGTCTCTAATTACAGTATTGTTGCTGTAATTAGCTGGTGACAGAGTCAGGACAAGTACATTCTGCATGTAGTCAGCTGAGCTGTTCTTCCTGAAGTACGTGTTACTGCAAAGCAAAGCACAAGAACACCATGAACACTCAACAACAGGGCCAGTGGTATCCATGACAGAATCACTCACCTCTTCCCAATGGCACTGTTATTTGACAGGTTAAAACAGTAATTCTAAAAATAAAATTTCATCATGCATACAACTCTTTATATTGCTTATTCCCTGATGCCAGCTTTTGTGCTTAAATATATTAAAAGGTAATATTAAAGAGATCTGGCAATCTCACACTCAAGGGTTGCAGCAAATTATTGTTATTATTGTAACTGTTTGGTTTCTGCCCTGTTTATTTCCTCTTTTTTTTCAAGCAGAATTTATATATATTAAAACTTAATCTCTTCTTGGAATCCACAATACTGCAATCATAGTTTCTTCATGTTACTGTTCCTCTAATTCTCATATTTTCTGCTATAACTGAGCACAGCAGATTTGCACTAAAAGCATTTAACAGGAGGGCATGAAACAATCAGAGAAGTGCAGAGAGTAGCTTATTGATTTATTTGTTTAATTCAGTGAGATAGGAAAATCAGAGGAAACTGTGTGAACTTGAAAACTATGCTAGAGCAAGCAGAAGATGTAGCTTTCAGGCATCTTTGGTTTCATCACCTTGAGCTGCCATCTGGAAGTGCTTCACAAACTGGCCACCACTGGACTCAAATATTAAGGAGGAATTTAGCAATAGATATTAGTGTCACATGGCAGCAACTGGCATTGCTATGTCTAGATACATAAAAAGAAGATAATTTTATGAGCCTTCTCTCATTATTCATGTTTGATCATCCTTTTATTTTTTCAGTCAATACTGTATTAAGACTTTTTGGAGACCACAGGCTTTGCTCCATGGTCATCTAATGGGATTCTGACTCCAGAGTCCCATCCTTGCCTTTCTGTGAACCTTCTGACTTTTACATTGTACTTTTCACCCTAAAGAATTTCAAAGTGTTTTTCATCCAGGCTTGGACTAAACTAGCCAGCTGAAAAGGACACTTCATTAGACTCCACTAGGCTGGATAATCCTACAGCATCCCACCTTTCCCGAGGCCATCTTAAAGACTATGTTTGTATGCTGGCTGCTAGATGGCTCAAAACTGAAGAAAATGTAAATCTATCACTGTCAGAGGGATGTCACTCCTGGAGAAGCACAGGACTTTGCCTACCCTCTCACCTACAGCTTGAGTATTCATCCAGCACATGCCTGTATTTTGTCTGTTTTAAGAAAAATAACATGATTTGAGATACTCAGCAAAATCAAGGGTACGTAGCAAATTTAATGAGGGCAGCATATAAAACAGGCTGAGGTGGCTGGGTAGCATCAGAAAGATGCGTATCACAGCAGAGAAGCCCCTAATCTCCCTTACCTAATGCAACAATTATATATGCAACACCAGTAAGTTAAAGCACCCACATACAGAGTCCCTATTGTGCATTTGCAAAGAAACAGGAATTGTGGCCAGTTGACTCAAAAAATCAAGTGGGGATTCCTAGAGCCTGGATAAAATGGTGGAATGCCTAAAACATATATGGTGAACCTCAAAGTGTACAGGACAGAGAAGATTCTATTAGAACCTGAACCACAGGATCCAGTTTGGACCCAAAGGTTAAGTATCTGAAGTCATTAATCCAAAGTTCCTCAGCCCTGACTTGTCAAGGTCAGCTTTAGACATGAGAGCTGGGAAGTCCCACAGGCCCTAGAGGTTCATGGATTCTTTTTGCTACACCAACAGTGAAATAATTAAAATCAAGACATGGGCACATACAGTTGCCTTGTTATCAGCCATCCATTACACTGCCAGCACAGTCCCAGGCATGTTTTTGGTCTGGGCCAATTAACTTTCTCCCAGAGTGTGATTTGCTATGGCAACTGGAGGCATATCCAAAACACCCAGTTTGGACATCTACACATAGCTATACAGATATGAGCTGTGCTGTGTCACTTAGGCTTAGGGCCAAAGATCAGCTCTTGGTTCTCATATACAGCCAAAGCTTTTGAGGCTACCATTGATAAGGCCAGTTTATGTCAGTCCTTGTCTACAAAGATTTCTGTAGCAATGTAAAGAGGAACAACAACAGAAAACTTAGGTTGTATACTAAGAAACTTCTCTGAAAAGTTAGATTTATGTACTTATAAAGATGCTGAAGAGATGGTTATAAAGTGCAAGAGTTATAAAGTGGAAAAACAGTTGTATCTGTCTTTTAAATAACTTAAAAATTGAACAAATGGAGCCTAGAAAAATCTGTAAATCATATTTTCACAGTTGTCTGGTTGGGCAGAGTATATGAAAAACGTACAATTTCTCATATAAACAGCTTATCACCATTCTGACTTTGGACTCTGCTTCTCTCATGGCTTCCTACACTGAGGAACTACCCCAACCTGCTCTGTCACTGCCTTAGAAAAATATTCCATGAAATACAGGGGATGTTGTGGAGGATGTGCCATGAATTAAATACTAAGCAGCTTAGATAAATGCCAAGACCTGAGGAAATATGGCTATAAAGCACAATTTGTGAAAGAGCATTTCTTCAACAAAACAGTTCCACTCAGTCTATTTCTGTTATCTGTATCCATCAGCAAACTGCAGAGAAAAGAGGAAAAGCAAAGGTGATACTTTACTTGAAGAGATCTATCAGGATGATAACAATGTCATTATCCACTTTCTCCGTCTCTAGGTCTGTCCTGACATCCTCTGGAGAGCCACACATGATGATCACTACAGATTGGGAAAAAATGGAAACAGATTGGTGAGAGGTACAGACAAGGAGAGGATATTTGCCTGCTCCCCCATGTTTGAGTAGCAGGCAGTAGAGCAGTTCTGGGCTAAGGCACATTATCTGTCCTGTGCTGTGCTGGGATGCAGGCACAGAGCTACAGCCTCTCTGCAGTAAGACCAGGATATTTGATGGTAAGTGGTACCTCAACACCTACAACATTTTCTGTCTGACTGCACCAGAGCATTACTATTATCTCACTGAAGTAAGCATTAGTTCTGATGCAATATGGACTACTGATATGAACATTCTAGGTTAAATGGCATTCAAGTAATGGTTTCATTAGCTTGCCTACTCTCACACTCATTTGGCCTGCTGATGCCAGGTGTTCAGTCTTAAGAGAAGATGAAGTATTTATTGATCTGTTTTTCTAGTTTAGATCAGTCATTTCCAGAATAAGTGCCCCTTGATGGCAAAATGAGGCCCATATATGTACCAGGGCTGCAAACACATGAATGATAGAGAGCTTATAGTATCTATATTCTTCTAGTATTTAAAACCCTTCTTAGGTGAACCTGTGATTCCTGGATTTCTGAATCTTTCACAAAAAGGAGCTTGTGCCTACATGGGATAATTCACCCCAGAAGCTCTCTGGAACCAGGATATTCCCCCATATTTTATGGGGGTGGAGAGAGGAACCTAGGAATGTTGTGCCATTTTATGTTTACATCCATATAAAATGGTATATCAGTGTTTCCACCATGTCTGGTGAAAGGCTATTCCTAAAACCTAACTAAGGGGTAGGTTTGATTTCCTGAGAAAAGCAACCTACTTGCAAGGACAGTGCACCGTCAGCCCTTACCATTGCTTTTCCGGTTTGGATTTTTCACAGTTCTTTTCAGCTGCTCTGGAGTCCTTAAAATATCCTTGAACTTCAGTTTTTCGGAGAACTCTGTGATTCCAGCATCTAAAGCATTCATGTACCTGACACAAGGGAGCAAAGATATTGTCAGAAAATTGCTAACTTCTCACATTCTCCTAAATCAGCCACAGCGCAAGATAGGCTGATTTATGGCACACAAGAGTGTTTATAAGCTGGTATGAAACCTTTTCTGCAGCAATAAAAGCAAGAAAATCAATACATGGCATGAAAGACGCAGAAGTGCTTGGAAAGTCAACCAGAGGTATTTCAGCCTTGTACATGAAGGATGGATTTGGAAAATACAATGATGTAACAAGACATTAACAATTAAGGAAAAAAAGGGATATGGGGAAATTATAGTAAGTCAGACTAACAGGGAGGCAGAGCCAGGAAGTGGTAATCTTAGAAGACATGTGGAGGTTCAACTGAGTAAACAGGAGCTGCAGAAAGAACAAAGATAAAAAGCACACATGTACCCTGACTGTGAGAGAAGCAAAGGAAGGAAAGTAGCAACAAAAAAGCCTATACAGAGTTGGATAAAACTTGAAGGGGAAAATGAGCACAGCAAAAAAACCCAACAAAGTGAGTAAAAGCTTGCTAAAAGATTAAGGAAAAACAGTCAACTCCTAAATTCTATTCTTGCTTCAACATGTTGTGTCTGAGAAGAAAAATTCTGTCTGAAATAAAGTTACTGCAAAGGGAAAACTAAAAGAACTCTCTGTGTTTTCAAACTGCATAACTTTTGATCAACCAGCACTGAAATCCCAGTCCTAAGAACTACTAAATATCTTTTGCTTCCTTTTTTTTTTTCCAGGAACATAATCATTAACCGTTAATTTACAGGAACATATGCACAGTTGAAACATAACCTGATTTTGCTATCACTGAGTATTCACTTGTTTTTATACGTATATGAGAAAAACAATTAGCCCATGTAGTGTAACTTGTGCTTTAGACAAAAGGGTTCTTTTCAAATTAGACAGTTCAAAACCCTTCAAGTTTACAGTTTTTATTAAAGGAGAATGAGATGCATTTTTACAACTAAATTAGGATGAAAAATGGGCAGATATACAAAATTAATTTTAAATTTTTTTTGTTAATTCAACAATATAGGATTTTGAACAATTCTGAAGTCATAAAGAAGGTCCTGAACAGAATTATTAATAAAAGCAAGGTAAGAAATGCTTGGAAAGGTAAGAAAAGTATGAAACCTGCAGGATTAAAGGGATTTAGCTAGTGTGTGTAGTGCACTGGCAATTATAGCTGCAAACATAGAGGAATAGGGATTGTAGTAAGAGATAAGCGAAGTGTACTAATATTTCAAAACATCAAAGAGAGGTAATCGTGGCAATTACATCATGTGATCAAGTTGCTATCTATACTAAGAAAGAAGGAAACAATAAAAGTCCCTAAATACCTACAAAAGAGTGAACTGGAAATCAGTTTTTAGGTCTCTTAATTCAGAAAAAAATATTTTAAGTACTGTATCCAAAATATTCCATAAATACATGCTTATATCACTCTGAAGCCAATACAGTCATAAGTTTTACTTGAAATTCTGCAAGTTCCTAAGGTTATTAATTAGAAATATATGTAACAGTTATTTCCATGAACTCTTTGCTGCCTTTGAGCTACATTTATAGAATTAATAGGAGAAATGAGATGCTTTTTTTAATTAATCAGCATTTTATATCTCAAAATTGGGAAAAAATTCAAAGGAGCATAGAAACACTAAAATGAGCTTAAAGTTAAATAAGACTCATTAATAGAAAAGTAATTACAAATATCAGTATATTACAGAGTCTATTCGTCTAAAACCAGCCTTTGTTTTCAGACAAGGAGAAATCCCAGCATTCTTGAGAATCAAACACAGGCTGATGTTTTGGGTCACAAAGTGAAAACTGTTTCCTTTGCTCCAAACTGGTGAGAGCATAGCCTAAACTCTGCAATCATTGGGGTTATTTTGTTTGAAGAAAGATATAGTTTGAACATTGGAAATGTTTTGGAGCAACAATAGTGCCCACAGATTGAAGCCATTAATGTGGAGAAACACTGTAAGAGCTTGGTAAGACCCCTGACCTAAAAACACATCTATGAAGAACATGACGGAGGAGCCTCTCATGACACATTATTTATATCAAAGCGGCCATAAACAGGTATTTCCATCAGAGAGAACATGTGGGCAATGCTGTCCACAGGAAAAGCCAAGGCTTGCAAATATTTAAAATAGACTGATTGAAACCTTCAGATATGCACTACAGCTAAAGGGTATAATTCATCTTTTCCTTCTCTCATTCCTTGGTAGTTGTAAAGCACCTCCCAAAGTGTAGGGCTCAAAGAACAGCTCATAAGAACCATGTCCAAGGGTGGAGACAGCATTTATCAACAGTTGGCTCAGAGGTGGATCCAGATCTTACCAGAAGCATGCCTCTGAGGTTTCAGTCCTCTTGTAAATGTAGACAGATTCCCAGGTCGTGGTTTTAAATGGCAGCTGAGAATCTCTCCAAAAATAAGAGAAGAATTCGTTCACTTTCCTGGCTGGAGTCAGAAGGCGGGTTAGGTTTTCTTTGTAGTCACAGGACAGTCCAAAACTCCCTACAGAGATCAGAGGCAGGCTCAGTACTGTGTCAAGTCTGAAGGAAGAGATAAGAGGACAAGTCTGAACAGATTGCTGTTGCACCAAGGCAGCTACCACCTGATGTCCATCCTCAAGTCCCTCTCCTCTTGTTCCCTGCATTAGTTTAACAGCAATTTGAACCTGAAACAGAACGCTCCTGAAAAACACAAGCAGATTTCAAGTCTGTATTGGCATCAAAAAGCCCTGTTGAACTGGTCCAGGCATCTTCTCTCACTGCCTCCAATTATTCATGCCCTTTTGAGTATCATGCACCATTTCAGCCCCAAGGGTTGTGACAGGAGTCCAAAGACTCAAGGAACTATCTGCTTCTGCTCCCTGGCTGCCATTAACATGGGATGGATTTAATCTCATTATTGAGACAGTGCTGCAGGGTGGCAGTTTTTTCCATCAAAAAAGCTTTACTCCTACAACTCAAAGGAAAAATTCCTCAGTTTCACTATGGCATATTTTAGGAGCTGTACAACAGCAGCAGTCAGGGAGAAAAAACTAAGGCAACCCTCTGCTGACAAGGAATTTGTTAAACAAAGATGTTTTTATACACAGAGACAATAAGCTTTTGAAGATAAAGGAATTTTCCTGGATGCTGCAATCTTATCAGACTAGACTCAAAATATTTCAGTTCTTGTATGGTGGTTTTTTATGTCATGGAATTTTGCCTTCATAAATCATGGCCATAAGAGTTGTTGGCATTATTGTGACAAAACCTTATTTTCCAGGTGAAGCACACTTACCAACTTACAGGGTTTATACTTGTTGCAACAGAAACAGACAGAGATGATGTAATAAGTAATGCCAGGAGAGTGTTTCACTAATTAAACAGACATTTTTCTGACAGACTTAGAATAGAACAGAATAGAATAGACTGTTTCATTTGAAAGGGACCTACAACAATCATCTAGTCCAACTACTTGACTGCTTCAGGGCTGACCAAAAGCTATAGCATGTTATTCATAGAATTCTAGAATGGTTTGGGTTGGAAGGGAATTTAAAGATCATCCACTTCCAACCCTCTGCCACGGGTAGGGACACCTTCCACTGGACCATTTATTAAGGGCATTGTCCAAATGCCATTTAAAAACTGACAAGCTTGAAGAATCAACCACCTCTTTAGGAAGCCTGTTCCAGTGTTTGACCATGCTCTCAGTAAAAAAATGATTCCTAATGTCCAGACTAAACCTCTCCCTGCACAGCTTTGAATCATTCCTACATGTCCTGCTGCTGGACCCCAGGGAGAAGAGATCATCACCTCCTTCTCCACTTCCCCTTCTCAGGAAGCTGTAGAAAACAACAAGGTCTCCCCTCAACCTCCTGTTCTCCAAACTAGACAAACCCAGTGTCTTCAGTTGCTCGTCAGGGGACATGCCTTCCAGCCCTTTCGCCAGTTTTGTAAGCATCCAAGGACTTTCACATCCTTCTGAAATTGTGGGGCCCAGAACTATATACAGTGCTGAAGGTAAGGCTGCACCACCACTGAGTACCACAGGATAATCACCTCTTTTGACCAGCTGGTGATGCTGTGTTTGATGCACCTCAGGATGTGATTTGCCCTTTGGGCTGCCCGAGCACACTGCTGACTCCTGTCAAGCCAGCTGCCAACCAGCACCCCCAGATCCCTTTCTGCACAATTTATATTTGTGTCCAACATTACTCAGGATCCCAGGAACAGAATACAGAATTTGGATTGGACTTGTCAAATTTCATCCCTTTAATCATTGCTCAATGATTTCCTGAATTAGAGATGTGAAGAAGTTTGAGGTAGACAATCCGGCTAATCCCAAACCACTCTTGTTACTTCCACTGTTCTGTTGCAACATCCCCACAGCTGCTGCACTTACAGACCTCTTGCAGTTTCCACTGTGTTGTTTAATATCCATTTGATAAGCCAAACATGAAACCTAGAAGAGTTGCCAAGTGCAGGCAGCAGCTGGGCCGACATCGGCTCTGCACTCTCCCACCCCACTTCCCATGGGTGCATTACCCACAGCGCCCTTCCCACACTTAAATTGTTGTAAAGTGCTTTTAACTGAAAGAGGTCAGGTTTAGATTAGACATTAGGAAGAAATTCTTTACTGTGAGGGTGGTGAGGCACTGGAACAGGCTGCCCAGAGAAGTTGTGGATGCCCCATTCTTGGAAGTGTTCAAAAACAGGCTGGATGGGACCCTGAGCAACCTGGTCTGGTGGAATATGCCCTTGCCCAGGGCAGAGGAGTTAGAACCAGGTGATCTTGAAGGGCTCTTCCAACCCAAACCATTGTATGATTCTATAAAAGTAAGGCACTTGTTCTGATTCACAAGGCTATCGCACAACAGTTACTGTTCTTTATTGCTTTTCATAAACTTCTGCTATTCACACTTTTAACTGTGTCGGAGTCCAAGGAAAAAAGTTTGGCATCATTCTGGGCATCTCCATATCCAGCAGATAGAAAAGCAAACACTAAGTTAGGAGGCACAGTGAATAAAATGGGGTATACTGCACAATATTCTACCATGGTGCTCTATATATAGGAGTTATGCTTTAGATTCTTCTATAAATCAGTCGCATGCATTCCCCAGTAACATTGCATTCACTTCTGGTCATGCCACTCAAAAGTATAGAGCTAAAAGCAGACAAATCTTGAGATAAAAGTGTCTCAATTCTCCCAGTTTCTGTCAGTGAAACCCAAAAGCTACCAAAGTTTAGAAAGGGAAGTGATTCACCTGGGTAACCCTATGAATTTGTATGTCATAACTGACTGGAGGTTTTAAAATTATTTATGCTAGAAGTCTGCAGATTCAGCTTACACTTTTGCTAATATCTAAGAATGAACATATTAATGTATGGTATAATATAGAATAGAATTATACATGTTCACATCTAAGACAATAGTAGAGAGATTCATTCTTCAGGAGTGCTTCCTCAGGCAGAAGGGTTTGGATGAAACTGTCTGCTCCCTATCTAAACAATACTGAAGATAGTTGGGGTTTTTGGATCTTGGCACATATAACTCAGGCCTCCCTCAATGACTGAACACTCACCCAGAAGGAGCCCTGTTGCTGCAGTACTGCAATGTCTACATGCCTCAAGCTCACATCCCTTATCTGCTGCAGTTGCTAAGGAGTTACACCTTTTGAATCCTCAATCAATCAATCAATCGATCAATTTACTGTCTGGAATTAGAAGTTTCCCTGCTATCACTGGGATTTCAGCAGTGGGTTTTGGAAGGGGATTTTCTTCACCCTACCAAACATAGTGGCTATGCATAGGAGTCTTACTGCCTTGACTGTAGACCTTGAGGTGTCTGATGTATTCTAAACCCCAATGTCTCTGCAACAAAGCAACTTTGTTCAGCAACTGATATCTTTAACGTCACAATATTAGGGGAAAGAGGTGGTACTTACGAGACCATTTGGTAGGTGGCATAAGTGCAAGCAGGTCCTATTACAGCACAGCCAAGTGTGCCAGAATCCTGCAAGGGATAAAAAGGTCATATGGGGACAGTGCAGAGAACTGGCAAGAGAGAGGAGGATGGGAAAATGAAGAAAATTTTAGGATTTGAGTAGTCACAGAATATATCTAGAAAAAGCAAGAAAAGAGTAGGTAAGGAGCTACAGAAAGTTTAAAAAAATGGAGAAGGAAGAAATCACAGAAAGCCAAAAAAAAGGCAGAGGACAAAATAGTTCCTGTGAGTATGACCTTCATTAAGAGACAGACAGTGAGTTAGGACTGAAATGTTTTTACAACTGCACATTTGAAATTACACACTCCAGCAGTGTTTGCATTTGCAGAAGACAGGGTGGCTGGAATTACAAGGTACTGTGTATCACAAAAATTATTAGTTACATGCATATAAAGCTAATATTAAAAAAAATCCTTTCCTGATCACCAAATAAGGCCTAACTAGTATCTTTGTGTGTCATTGTAGTGGGTTTCTGTGGCTGGGTTTTGGTAGCGGGGGGGGCCTACAGGGATGGCTTCTGTTAGAAGCTGCTAAAAGCTTCCCCTTTCCTGTGGAGCCAATGCCAGCTGGCTCCAGGACGGACTTCCTCCTGTTGGCCAAGGCCGAGCCAATTAGGAGTGATAGTAACACCTCTGTGATAACATATTTAAGAAAAGAAGGTTGTTGCGTAGAAAGAATTGCAGCCAGGGAAGAGCAGAGTGAGAACATGGGAATAACAATGTAGACACCAAGGTCAGTGCAGAAGGAGGGACAGGAGGTGCTCCAGGCACCGGAGCTGTGGCCCCAGCGGCCTGTGGTGCAGACCATGGTGGAGCAGCTGTGCCCCTGCAGCCCATGGAGGACCATTGGGGTGCAGAGACCCACCTGCAGCCCCTGGAGGAGCCCATGCTGGAACAGGTGGATGCATGAAGGAGGCTGCGACCCCGGGGGAGGCCCAGGATGGATAAGGGTCCTGCCGGAAACCTGCAGTCCATGGAGAGGGAAGCCCACGCTGGAGCAGGTTTTTCCTGGGTAGGACTCGTGGCCCCTGTGGGGGACCCACATTGGTACAACTCATTCGTGAAGGACTGCACCCCATGGAGGAGTGACCCACAGGACAGCAGTTTGGGAAGAGCTGCTGCCCAAGGGATGGACTCACGCTGGAGAGGTCCATCAAAGACTGTCTCCCGTGGGAGGGACCCCATGGGAGCAGGGGAATGACTCCTCTCCCTGACTAGCAGCAGAAACAACAACTGACCATAACCCCCATTCCTTGTCCCCCTGCACCGCTGGGGGGGAAGAGGGAGAACCTGGAAGGAAGGAGGGATGGGAGGAAGGTGTTAAGACTGTTTTATTTCTCACTCTTTGGCTCTTATCTTGTTAGTAATAAATTTAAGTAATATCCCCACTTTGAGTCTGTTTTGCCCGTGAAGGTAATCAGTAAGTGACATCTCCCAGCTGTTATCTCAATTCATGAATCCTTAGCTGGTTTTTTTCTCTCTCCTCTGTCCAGTTGCAGAGGGAGAGTGAGAGTGGCTTTAGTGGGTACCTGGCATCTAGCCAGGGTCAACCCACTACAGTCATGAGGGACAATTTCTTAGCAAAGGCTATATTATGTGCTCATCGATCAGTAGACTTGAGAATTCACATGGGATTGACAAAATTTCACTCAAAGGTGAGAAAATCCACTGAAACAGCTTCCTGAAGTGCACCAATTCTAACTGAAGCTTTTCCTCATATTAAGGTATTCTCATAGTTTCTCTCACGTGACTTCTGTGATCTCTTAGTGAGAAGCAAGCACTTCATCTTTGCCCTTTGGGCATAGTTCCATACCCATTTCATCGGTAACAGTGCCAGCCTAATGATTTCTCTGCTCACATGTTCCCATCTTCACCACAGCTCTTTCTTTTGTGTATTGTGTAAACTGACGGTGAACCAGATCAGGCTCTGATCCAGCTGGAAATTGAGCTTTTTGCTCTGCTTGGGCTGTTTGAGCATTTGGGTTGGTTTGGGGGGTTTTTTTGGTTGGTTTTTGTTTTTTGATGTTTTTTAATGGATTGCTTTGGCTATGTGTCCACACGAAGAGCTGTGCAGATATAAAAAAGAGGACAACTTAAGCAAAGGAAAAGGAGCCCGAAGCTGAAGCTGACAGTTTCTAGGAAGCATTCATAGAATCTCTCTCCAGTATTTGCCTCCTTCCCTCCACAAAACATACAGGAACATCTTCTCTTTGAAAACTTCACTTCCCTGTCAGATTTGTTTGGAACTGAACAAGAGAATGAAAAGCTAATAAGGAAAGACAGAGACATACATGAGTACACACAGGCAGAACAAAAGAAATCTCCTACTCACATAAATTGTCTTGATGAGCTCCACACCTTCACAGGTGCTAGTACGACAGCCTTGTGAGACATAGAGTGATGAGGCAAAGGTGTGGAAGATGGCATCAACTGTAACATTTTCTCCTGATGCAAACATAAAAATAAACAGTGTCATGAATTGCAGAAAACAACTAATATGCTATTATCCCACTTCTTCTGACACAGGTCTGAGCAGTCTTACACTAGGTGATCTGCTACCAGAAAGCTTCTACAAAGTCCACCTCTGACGTAACCCCCACTACTGTGGATGTGAGTCCACCACACAAAAAATTTGCTCTGGTGTGGACTGCTGACTTATGAGTGACTTCTTATGAGTGTTAATACTTTCAGTACAAAGTACTTTTGGTCTTGGCCATTACGAGAGACATTTTTTAAGGCTCTGTGCGAAGTAATATTTCTTTGAAAACTCTTTTTCCCCATAATATTCTAGAGGGTGACAGTAGATTGGTGATATTGAAAGGAGAGGTAATCTATCAAAATAAATAAAAGCATCATGACTCTAAATGAAGGAAAAACACGTGGACTGCAGATTCCTCACACTTTGGGTCATGATGTGATCAAAAGATGGGATCAAGAGGAAAATTATTTTCAGAAAGTAGAGACTAATCTAGTCAGGAGAGGAAGCAAGGGCATCCCAATTATTGCATTAGATTGATCACTGGTCTTGTACGATCCAGTTCAGCAATTCCCATATTCCCAAATCTAGCTGAACATCTCCAGAAAAGCATGCGGGAAGAGTCTCCCAAAACACCATGAAAACATATATGGTTTCTGCCCATCTGTAGAGCACTTCTATTTTTACAGAGAGAGGTCATTATTTCTGTAAGATCTCTATAAGATGAGCAGATAGGCAAGGAGCCTGTCTGAGGAACATCTTGCTGAAGGTCAGATGGTGTGACACAAGTGTGACAAGAAACCATAGCAAGAGAGGGATAACCAACACCCATTGCCTTACCTGTTGTCTGGAATTCATTTTGTACCCATTTCAAGGCTCCATTCACAGCACATTTCAAACTTTCAGGACTTGATGGGAAGTCCGAGTAATTCATGAGCATCACATTGATCACATAATTCTTGTTGTTACACCGGTTTGAACCAACTTGCTGCAGCAGCTGGAGCGAGGAAAACAAAGGCCAAATGGCCAGAATCAACATCCGTTGCTTCATATTGCTCAGTTTAGACCCATTGTGTGTTCCCTCTCATTTCTTTTTCTCTTCCAACTCTCTTTCAGATACTCTACAGTGGTTTCGTTCAGAGATAGAACGAAAGAGACCTCCACTCCATAGATTCAAAGACAGGCTGTATGATCCTTCTCTCTGGCACTTCCCTATCCCCTTCCCTGCCTTCACCTATGCCCGCCCCTCTGGCGTACTAGGTGGCACTTCAAGGTGAAAAACTAGCAACAGGAAAACTCAGGAAAGGAGAGAGGCTAAAGGTTGCTGTGAATGTTTGCTCATGGAAAGGCTGAGGCTATAAAACTGAAACATTACCAGAAACCTTGCCTGATAAGAGCACTAACTCTTCACCACAGGGATAAGATGAGAAAGGGGAGGGGACAAATGGACTGTAAAGACAACTCTTTAAAATGGAAATAAAATATAAACTCTATTAGAGCCTAGAGGAAAACAGATAGTTACTTCACGTTTGCATTTGTCCTACATCTCTGATTACATTGCCACACCATCTCTGCAGGCTGAGCTCGTAAATCAAGCGTATATTTTCTTCTGTGATAAGTTATCAATTTTGTTCCTTTAGCTTATAACATTGAAGTACTTTTTGTGTTGGCAAAAATGTCCAACTTGCAGTCCTTCAGACCAAAGCCTTCGTTTCTACTTACAGACTCAACACAAAGCTTGTCCACTCACATTCTCCCAGCACTGCACGCCAAACTGCCCCAGGTCTGCCCCAGACATGTTGCTCCCATGCAGCACAGGTCTCACTGCCCATTCCCACCTTGTCAGATGGCTCCTCAAATGGGGGGCCAAAATATTAATACTTTATGTGATGAACCTCTTGCATCAGGTAAGGATTGGCAAAGGTGAAGGTCGCATCTCAGGCCTGCGTGACCAAACTAAATTTTAAACGGCATCACTAAAAGGCACACATTAAAGGACACCACAGTGTTGCTCCAAGTACAGCTTTCCTGAGTAGTTTTCCTGAGAATGGTCTCAGGAAAGGTAGGTAGAATGAAAAGAAGACCGAAACCAAAACAACAATACCAATTTTATGATTTCTTTCAAAGCCTATATTTAAAAAGTGGTGAATGCACTTCAAATATATTTGCACAGATCTTTTTATGTGATTCTATTTTGATACTGAATTATTATTGCTCAAATCTTTCTTATACCCAGAGAAGACTATAAGCCAGCATTTAAAAGTAGATCTTGAACACCTCAGCATATCTAATCTAGCATTTGTAATTTGTAATACTGTAATTCTAAATTAGCAGTCTGTCATGTAAACATCTGGACTAGTACGGCTGGCTAGAGCCACAGATTGAGAATAGAATATAGCTTTTCTAGTGGAGATCATGTCATCACTGGCACATTTTATAGGTATTTCCGAAGTCCTTGAAACTTAGGCCATATAAGTCAATAAAAGATTTGTCATCAACTTCAGCAGAGCATGATTTGCATTTTTATACTCTTCTTAGCCTATCTGAGAGAAACATACAGCACGGATAATGCAACTAGAACTGAGTATTTTACCTTGCTGGTCACACAGGGAGTATGTAATGGCGCTGAGGTCTCCCTGCCTTTATATCTATTAACGTATTTATTTGGTTTTCACAGCAGCTTAAAACTGTCCTTTAAAAACAAAAGGTGAAATCAACCATAGCCTTAGCACAGCATTTCTTTTTACTCTCTTCCTTGCCCCATGCCTTCACAGTGCCACAGAGAGTCCCCAGACAGAATTAATTTTTGACTTCTCAACTTCTTAATTTCCTGGTGTGTGTAGTCTCTCAATGCCAAGTCCCAAGATGGGAGCACACCTTGAGCATCCAGTGACGTGGAGCAGCAGGGGGTGTGGCACAAGGCAGCAGCTGGGATGAAGCAAGCTCTTCCTGAAACCTGCTGAACTGTCCCGTATACCTTGGGGCTTTGGACATCAAACACAGTTGCCTGGCAGACTGATCAGTAACATCTGCTTCATGGGATAAGAGAGACAAAGAAAAGCCGTGGCACTGTACAGTAAACAGAAGGGTTACTGATATTATAGATGATCGTGAGGGTGGAGAGAAGAAAAAGTAAATGAATGAGTCAGATGTGTAAAGCACAAAAATTGATGGACCTGCCACAAGTAAAACAAAAGCTTCTGTATGTTTGTGTTTGTTGCCGCCTGTGCCAGAGGGATGTTTAGTCCCCGAGGAGTAGAAGACATGAGACACCAATGCCAGTCCATTCATAGTGTTCTGTCTGCAGAACACTATGATACAAATCAGACAGATACTCAAAACTATTTTCCACATCTCTTCAGGGCACTGCCTCCACTATCTCAGTAACTTTTCTCCAATTGTGAGCCAGTTCTCACACTTCAAAGATTAGTCAGTGAAGGATACAGTTCAGAAACCCATAAGTCAAAATACATGTCGGGGGGGGAGGGGGAAGCTTTTTGACTCCTACAGGCAACAGCAGCTTTAACTAGAAATCCTGGCTTACAACAGAACTACAGGTAATGGGAGCATCCTGAAGGCACATGCAAATAACTCTGCCTTCTCCTGAAAGAATGTGATGACATGGAGAAGCAGAGCAAGAGATTCAAACACCACCAATATCCTGCCTAAGGTAACCTCTCCTGACGATCCACAAAGTTTATCCCAAAATCATCCTTAAAGCACATCTTCTAGAACTACTTTTTCTCTCTTAAAAGTGTCAGGGTTTCATCATCTTCTAATGAATAAGGTGCTAAGAAACTGCATCTGACATTCCCAGTGCATTCTTTCTATCTGTGGTTTCTAGGTATCAGCTACTGCTATTATCTTGTCAGAAAGGGAAAAAAGATCCCAACATTACATATTTTCACTGTCTGTGCAAGTGTCTATCCAAAAAGTCAGATCTTAAATGAACATCATAATGAACAGATTGAGTTCAACAGCTCCAACAGTTGATGGAGGTCTCCCCTTAAATCAGTGAATACAAACCCTGTAGTTTATCACTTATTTTGCCTTCAGAAGCACAGGGACGATTAAAATTCAGATAGGCAGGCCCTGTATTTATTTGTCTGAAGACAAAATTCAGTCCCTCACCATCAACAACATTACTTGTGCATATATTGCATAGGTACAAAACACTTAATAGTTCTCTGTGGGTGTTACAATCTCAGTTAGATTAGAAATGCCAACTCAACCCACCAGAGAACTGCATCATTGGTTTTAGTGAAAAGTGACTTTTAGTGTTTAGTTCTACAGCACTTTAAAGCACTGTGTTTGTTCTGCTTTCTGTTTTATTGGATAATAAACAACCAGATATTATTTGAAACTGGTAATCAGCACTGACTTCCTGATATAAAACTCTGACACTCAGACACAGAAAAAAAACAGTAAAAAATTCCAAAGATTTGTTCCTTTAAGTCTTTCGGCCTGTGTAAGATAGTGCTTTACAGAACATTTTCCAGTTCTTTTTTAAAGGTGCATGTGACAGGGCTTTCCTCATTTCAATGGCTTCTTCTTTTTTGTGCTGAGTCTGAAAGTCCTCAAAAATAGGAATGATAGACCAACCTGGGCACCACAGAGTTCCTTTGTCTATACAGATCATATTGTAAAATTGCAACTGTATGATGCATTGTCTTCTACCACATTCATTTTTAGGATCTTTTTACCGGCATGCAACCTGATCTATTTTGTACTTAACTACAATTCATTATTTCCATTTGACCACTCATAGAAAAGAAAATGGAAGATATGGAATGAAAATTCCAGAAATCTCAGAGGAGCCACAGAATTAGGTGAAGGTATAAGATGTCCCCAGTCAGTCAACCTGCTACTTGTAGTAGTTGGTACAAATATCCTAACTAACTGGAGAGTATAAAAATGTCTTCTTTAATTTTCAGTATTAGAGAGAAGATTGAGGACATGAATAACATTTTTCTGTCTTTTAAAATATTTTTACAATACTTCTACTATCCAGATTTAGAAAACATTAATGTAAATTATTATGAATGTAGCTGTATAATATACATATATAGCAGCTGTATACATGGATACAGTATACATGTATAGCAGCTGCATAGCAGCTATGTTGATTTTTCAGAACTGATCTTTTTTTCTCTTGTTTACTATACAAGAATATAAAGAAATATTTTCCAAGCATTATCCTCTGGGACCGGAACCATCTACTGATTAGCAACAAGCCTGTAAACCATCTTATAAACATGTTGGTCATGTGATGCATGATCCTGATAGTACAGCCTGATCCTGATAATATTGCCATTCCCATGCGTTATTGAGAGTTTAGGTTGCTGCCATAATTAGCTGCCACAGTTCAGTTGCTGACACAGATTACAATAAAATTACACTGCAAAGCACTGACTGTTCTCATTAGAAGTTACCAATCTAGTAAAAGTAAAACTACAGACAAGGATAAGAAAAGTTGTAATTGGAATTGCAACATACTCCCAGGAGCTTGGGCGGTGGCCCCATCCTCCCATTGATCTATGCTGGCACATATCAGAAGATGAAGCTAAATATGTGATGTGTCATCAATATCTAGCTCAATTAAGAAAGTCTTCTTCCTTTTAACCCTTTCCCAACACATACACATTGTGATGTGAATATTATTCATCCACCTAACTTCTACCAAAATAAATAGTAAGAAGTCTTTCCTCTTAACTACTATTTTCTTTCTCTAAAGGACTTCGTTTCCAGAGGGACAAGACATATTTTTCTTTTCAGCATAAGGGTTTGCCTCTGTTTTAGACTCAGCAGGATATAGCTCTGTCAAGTGACAAAAATAAGCTACCTGTAACGTGCAAACATTTTTTCTGTTTCTCCTTACAGAGGTAAATGGCTTGAGTGTGTAATAATTTATGTATTGGACATATACTTCAGTTTCCTTAAACTCTCTTTATTAAACACAATACATGTTTATACTATGTGATGAGATGGAGTTATGAGATCTTCTAGCTAGTGCACACATGATCTTGTAAATCCAGATGGCAGTGGAATACTGTGCAAATATATCAGCACGCATCCTGAACCAGTACAACTGCATTCTCTGGGATGTAGCACTTGCAGTGATGTGGCTTTCTGACTTGGATAAGTTTGTGTGGATCCAGCTAACCATGCATTGCATTTTCCGCTCTGACACTGACTTGTGCAATCAGTGGATTGTCTTGCCACTCCTCCCTTGATTCTACACACATAAACTTCTAAAAACTTACCTAAATGTGATTCTGAAAGCAAATACAAGGACAGCTTTTATGTTACTTTTATTAACTTGACTGAATCTTTATGACAGGTTGGGTGCTAGAAGTATCAGAAAAATTCTGAAGCTGCAGTTCCCACAGATCCATAAAATCATAAACACCAGTGAAAACTAAAGAGGCTCCCTTTCCAAAATACAGATAAAAAATATGAATCTTTATTTCACCATTTGGAGGTCTTTACCCGACACGGGTGTTGTTTGCTGTCTTGAGCTGGGCAATAGAGATCAGACAAAAGCATTAAAGGTGCATATGATCTGTCAACTTACGCATTTCACCTTCTCTCATCATGAGTGGTCTACCCAGGGTAGAATAAGCCTCAGAAGTTGCTGACGCATAAAAAAAGAAGCAAGTATTATTCCAGTTCTTTGCTTTTAAAGGTACCATTCCCCATTTTCTCATTGCAAGGGATTGCCTTTGTACCTTTAGCAGGGGAGCATTTAATTGCTCTCACTTTTACGTATCATTTATCTTGAGATGTTGTCAGATGCATTTTCAAAGGTACAAGATGCAGAACATGGTGAAGCATCATTACTGAATTTACATGATCTTACCCAGACATTACTGAAATTGAAGTACATGATTGTTGCTTATGTAAAGGTCACATCATAACCTCTTGTTTTGGTTATATGATGAATTTGTCCCACTTCCTGATTTTCCTTTCTCTCCCTTTTTTTATTTCCTTCCCCTCCTTCCTCACCTTTTCTTAGACCTCACTTTCCACACTCTGATTTTTTATTTAAACGGTGACTGCGCTCTCTGACGCTTATCTTGGTGTTTAGTCATGGGTGCATGATTTCCCTTTTGCTGCCATCAGTGTAAGTCAATTCCCATTCTCCCAGCAATTCTGTGTGGAAATAAACATGATCATTAATCATTTTACAGCTCACAGCCTTTAAAATAATGGCACTGGTGAAGGTAAGAGCTGCAGCAATTTTCCAGTATTAAAATAGAGTGGCCAAACTTCTTGACATGTCTTTAATTTATTAATTGTCGTCTTAGTGTTTCATATAAGGAAAAGATTATAACATCTCCACCTAGTTTGTTCTGCATTTTAATAATAATTTCTACACCAGACATGCTAAAAATATTTTGATCAACTTCATACTGCTATCACTTTGTATCTCTATTGACAATGTCCTTCTTGTGCCCACAGCTAACCCACTGGCACTGCATATCTGTTAGTTCTCATGCATGCCCCAACTTCGGATCAACTACATACAAATTCAGGAGCCACTTGGAAATGGGAGAAACCAGTGAAGCAGCTGAGAGCTTTCTTCCATTTGATTTAATATTTTAGCTGTTGATTCTTAGAACAGCAGGATCTTGTGAAAGAATGTATATTAAAAAAAATATGGAAGAAAGTGATGTAGTGAGATTACATTTTCTGTTACTTTTTCTTTAAAAAAAGAAAATAAAGAATCTTGCCTAATTGTACTGTCTGCTTGCTTGTTTTCTCCTGACAGAAATAATACCTTACGTAATAGAGAAGAGCTTTAAAAGGAGACCAAATCACTGGCATACATTCTTTATCACTTTGACTGACTAACTAAAAACTAATTTCTTGCAGAGAAGTCCTTTGTGGGCGAGTGGATTATTCGCCTTCCTTCTTCATGTCCTGTGGTATGAAAGCACATATATAAACAAGGGGCACCGCCATGGTGGTGTTGTGCTCCAGTGGCTCCTGGTTGCAGAGTAACCTCTTGGAGACTGTTCCAAGCTGGGTGCATCATTCCTGGGTCGAGTCAAGTTTAAGTGATTGTGAAACAGTGAATATGGAACCCACACTCTGAAGCAGCAGCACACAGTTCTTTACTGCTGGTCTATGTTCCAGATGATTGCACTGTGACAAGACATATCTATTCATACAAACATAAAGGAGCTGCTTTAGCTGCTTTTATTTTTTTTCTGGTAATGTGAGATTTTCTTCTCAAGGAAGGAAAATGGTAGAAATACAGATACTTCATTACTCTTGTCCATGGACATGTGTTTTATAGTTAGTGAGTTGTCAGCAGTAGTTTAAAGTATTGGCCCTCCTGTAATTTCAATCATAGAATCATTAAGGTTGGAAAAGACCTCTAAGGTCATTGAGTACAACCATCAATCTAACACTGCCAGGTCCATCAGTTACCCATGTCCCTAAGCGCCACATCTACACGTCTTTTGAACACTCCAGGGATGGTGATTCCACCACTCCCCTGGAGAACTTGTTCCAATGTTTGACCAATCCTTTCAGTGAAGAATTTTTTTTCCTAATAACCGATCTACACCTCCAATGGCTTTCCAGCCACTCTGCCCCAAGCCCGTAGCGTTGCATGGGGCTCTTGTGACACAAATGGGGGACCCGGATGTTCAAGAGAAGGACCAAAGGCAGGGAGAGGAAGAGCCTAGGAATTCTAGGGAGGAACCAGCGCGGTTCTGACCGAGGGACCGCCCCTCAGTCCCGTGGCCGCCGCGGGATGGCCGCCCGCCGCAGCGCAGGCGGAACCCTGGGGGCGGACCCGGTCGGCAGCCGGCGCCTGTTCGCCGCCGCCTTCCGCCGCCCCGCCGTTACCCCGGCAACGCCGCCGCCGTGGGAGCGTGGAGTCCGGGCCGGCCGCAGGATGGTGAGGGGCGGCGGGGCGGCGGGATGGTGCGGGGCGGGAGGCGGAGGGTGGTGGCGAGGGGCGGGGAAGGGGGAGCGCCGCCGAGCGAGGGCCCGCTCTGACGCGGCTCCGCTTTTCTCTTTGCCCAGATGCTCTCCCGTGCCAAGCCGGCCGTGGGGGGTACCCCGCCGCCGGGAGACAGGCGAAGAAAGAAAGGGAAGGAGGTGCCGCAGCTGGAAGAACTCCTGGCCCAGAGGGACTTTACCGGCGCGATCGCCTTGCTGGAGGTGACGGTCTCCGAGCGGTACCATCGTTGCCAGGCCGATGCCCGCAGGGCTGCGGGGCGAGGGGAGCCCTTCCCCTGCCTCGCGTCCCCCTCGCCTCCTCCCGCACCCTCCAGGCCCTGCCGCGGCAGCTGCGGCCCCTCGCTTCGCAGAGCCTGGTTTGGCCTGAGAGGGCTGCCTGCTGCTGCCCTCAGAAATGTGAAAGCAGCTGCACCCAAGTAGCATCCACAGCTGTCAAAGCATCCGCGATATATGATAGCCTGCTATTGCTTTGGTTATCTGTGGGTTATCTGTAGAAACTGTGTGGCAGCTGACAAAATTCTTACATTCTTTATTTTCTACAAAGTTTAAGCAGCAAGTGGGTGAGCAGGAGGAGGATGCCAACCTTTGGATTGGATACTGTGCATTTCATTTGGGTGACTACAAGAGAGCTCTGGAGGTAAGTGCGGAAGTCCCACTCCCTGAGGCTGGAAATCGGAATGTAGTGATAAAGCGATGACAACAAGAGGAAGATGGTCTGTAATCGGGAACAGCTCTGCCAGCCAGTTAAGGTACAAATGTACAGTAATGAGGCAGATGCTGTAGAAAGCAGTTTAGATTGAAAAAAAAAAAAAGATATTTACCTATGAAAATAGAGCTTTTTAAAGTTATCTACTATCTGATTTAATACTAGGCTCAGTAGACTAATTTGCCCTTTTGTATGTCGTAGTTCGTGTCCTAAATCTTCCATTCTTCCATCTTTTGCAGCTAGCTTTCCACAGTTTTATTTTTCATGTTTGGTTATTATTTTGTCTTCATTGTGAAGCTTATTTGTGATATGCACGATAAAATTCTCTCTTTAGAGATTGATGCCCCTGGCCATTAAATGATATGAGATTCAACAAGGCCAAGTGCCAGGTCCTGCACTTTGGCCACAACAACCCCATGGAGCAGTACAGGTTGGGGACAGAGTCGATGGGTGGCTGCCAGGCAAAAAGGGACCTGGGGGTGCTGATTGACAGCCAGCTGAACATGAGCCAGCAGTGTACCCAGGTGGCCAAGAAAGCCAATGGCATCCTGGCCTGTATCAGGAACAGTGTGGCCAGCAGGACCAGGGCAGTGATTCTTCCCCTGTACTCAGCGCTGGTGAGGCCACACCTGGAGTACTGTGTCCAGTTCTGGGCCCCTCAGTTCAGGAAGAATATTGAGGTGCTGGAGTGAGTCCAAAGAAGGGCATCAAGGCTGGTGAAGGGTCTCGAGCACATATTCTGTGAGGAGAGGCTGAGGGAGCTGGGGTTGTTTAGCCTGGAGAGGAGGAGGTTCAGGGGAGACCTCATCACTCTCTACAACTGCCTGAAAGGAGGTTGTAGCCAGGTGGGGGTCATTCTCTTCTCCCAGGCAACGAGCAACAAGACAAGAGGACAGAGTCTTTAGCTGCACCAGGGGAGGTTTAGGTTGGACTTCAGGAGGAATTTCTTCACAGAAAGAGTGATTGAGCATTGGAATGGGCTGCCTAGGGACGTGGTGGAGTCACAGTCCCTGGAGGTGTTTAAGAAAAGATTGGATGTGGCACTTAGTGCCATGGTCTAGTTGACAGTGATGGTGTTTGGTCATAGATGGACTCAATGATCTCAGAGGTCTTTTCCAACCTAGTTGATTCTGTGATTCTATAATGTACTTTATTGTTCTTCTTTATGTTTTCTTGTATTAGGTAATTCAAGTAAATGAGACATTCTCCAAAAGCTTTAAGTCACTAAAATACATGTTGACTATTCAAATATGCATACGTTTTAATATTTGTATAATACAATTCTGTCACGTCTCTTTCAGTGCATGAGTCCATAAGCAGTTCTTTCTCTTGTGTCCATTTATGTCTCCCATGAAGCTCAATCTTTTGCCAAACAATTTGTTTCCAGTGTCCCTGGGATCCCTTTATCTTCTTAGCAGTTCCAGCAAATTTCTCTGTAGAAATATTAATTAATTTTTGTTGTCTGCCTTGCCCTGTACCTCTGAGGGCTGGAATTGTTATGCATACCAGAACAAGGAGTGGTGTGGTGATAGCCACAAAGCTGCATATAACTAGAGGAGATTTTAAAACAACTCTGTCTGCCTGAGTATTGTTTGTCTCTGTTGCACTGTTGCTAGAGGTGTGAATTGCTGGGCCCGTATGATGCTGTATTGCACTGTTAAAGGCTTACTGGTTTCTGTCAGAGTCACCTGGGGGACATCTCCATCACAAGTCACTGAAGTATAAGTGAAGTATAACTGGGTTTGCAGTCTTTTCATTTGCTTTCCCCAGAAGAAATATTAAAAACAAATTATAATTTAGAGTATTAAAAAAAATAAAAAGAAAATAAATAGATTATAGAACAATGATGATATTTTCTCTTAGATAAAATGAAGTGTTTAACTATAGTAATATGTGGTCACGTGCACAAGATGCATACATGAGGTAAAAACTCTAAAGCTTCCAAATAAGTTCACAAGGCACTCTGCCCTTTAAAAATTGAAGAGGAAACATCCATTCGAGATGTTAGAGATGCTCAGGTAATTAAATTGTCAGTATACACAGTACAGAACGTAGAAGAGTAGTACAGGACCTAATGGTAAATTAATATTCATGTTTAAATTTGTGGAATTTTAAGATTATGAATGTAACAATCAGTTGCTGTAGTTAATTTATATTTAGGCATCAGGTGTTAGTTAATAGGGAGTGAAAGTTTTTTAAAAAAGAAAAATATTTGTATAAAAATAAAAAATAGCTTGCAATTTCTTTGAAATAAGAAATAAATTCTACTCTTTGAAATGCCCAATAGATGCTTTTAGAGCCAGAGTGGATTTTATATGTTTCCTTCAAAGAAAAAGCAACAGCTTTTTTTTATTATTTTTTAATTCGGTTTTGCATGTGGTGTTTGATTCACCACTAGGGGATGCTGTTGATCCAGGCTTTTAAAAACTGCAACGTATTCGCCTATTTCCCATTTTTCCCGTTTCTCTGCCCAAGTAGGGACAATAAAAGGTTTGTCTCAATGGTTTATGGATTGTTTTAAGTTTGTGGGTTTGAGTGTTTTAAGCGAGAGATCACAGGGCCTATCTTTTCAGATTTAAGACTGATTTTTGGCACAGTGATGAGTCCTGATAGCTCTCTTATTTTTGTGGTCACATGTGGGAAATGAGCCTGTGCATCTCAGCATAGATTCTTTGGAGACTGACCATTGTAGTTGTAATTCCTAAGCCTGCGGGAATCACTCCACTGACTGTGGAGACTGAACTGCCTTTCACTTAGCTTCAAGGTTGAAGTATAATGCTGCATCTCCTCTGCCGTGTTACAAAGGCACTGTTGCTGTATTCTCAAGGGCAAATTCCTTGATTATCTATACACTTGAGATCTTGGAGCATTCTTTAGGGAATGCCAAGAGCACTGTAAATAAAATACTATGGGTCGAAGATTCTGCAGAATTCTCCAGAATGACATTGCACACAATCTAAATGATTTACTCTCCTGTGTGTGCCTTCTGGTGACAACACATAGTCTGTGTCACTATTTTCACAGTTCATGGTTTGTAGTCCATGTACCTATGGGGTACCTATGAGGGTCTTCAGAAATTATGCTGTTCAATCCTTTTATTTATAATGATACTTTCACAGTGTTGGTTGCACAGCAACTTTTGGACAAGCTCGGGGATTGGGGTGAGGTGGCCATCACCCATCACTGGGAGAAATGGGGAAAAAGTGAAAAACACACAGACCTTCCTTCAGCTCCAAGAATATTTCCAGAGAGAATGACAGTAAAATCGCTGTCACATTCATGTGAGAGAATTCACACTCTCTTACCACAGGCACACAAACAACAGTCAAATATGCTCTAAGTAGAGCACTAACCTCAGCTTCACTAGGGTCACACTTTCCCCTTCTTAGTAGTAGATGCCTTTCTGAAAGGTTGTGCCACTGACACTGGACTGGTGGGATCATTCCTACTGCTGTACACCAGTTTACAAATGGTATTGCACTGGGCTTGACTCTTCCAGCAGTCACAGTACAGCCCTTCCCTGGGGACTGACTAACTTTCTTCACTGACAAACTTATTTTTACTAACACTGAGTGGCTTGTATCTTCCTGGCATCATATCGCAATCAGAGCTTCCCTAGTGGATGGCAGCATCTGATTAGTTTTCTGGAGTCTTCCACATGTATTGTCCCTAATGGGGAAAAACCCACCTATCTTTCTACCATGACTTGCTCATAGCTCTAATGTTAAACCTTTCCTGAAAAATTTCCCACTGTCACCCAAGGACTGGAATCAGAGCATCAGTCCAATGATTCTGTTTCTAAGCTGCCTGATCTGGTAAATTGAAGCAGCTGGGGCCTAGGAAAGGGAGGGTATTATTATATCTATATAATATTATATAGATATTTAAGGTATTTAACATTTAAGAGAGGAATTGGCAAGGGCAGATGCAGTGCTTGGTTGGATTCAAGAACAAGTTTCACTCTCTGACTGGGCTTTAGGCACACAGGATTCTGGCACGGTACAGCTGTTGGACATGGTAATGCCATTTTAGCCTATCAGCTGCACACATGAGAGCAAAGCATGATCCCTGGGCCAGAGCCTTCAATGGATTGTTTCTGTCAAAATATCACAAACTACATGTAGCCAGC